AAGGATTCTTTTTGGTTGTACCTTTCTGTTTCCCCCATTATTATTATTTCACTAACATACACTAATTTGTGGTCGTTGTTGTTCTTTCTTTCTTTCTTTTTACACGCACCTTACATTCTTTATCTCTTCCTATCTTCATCATTATTGTGTGGCGCATATGTATCTGGTGCCCCCTTGTACCAATATTTATGTGTTCAAATAAATAAATAGAATACAGGTTATGGAAATAAAGTACAATACAACATCCTATACGATAGATCAATACATGTTAAAACACATCATAAGCAGTTATTACAATTAAAAGAACTGCTTAAGAATATACAGTTATATATAGGGTTGTTTCGAATACTTTTAGCCAAATAAAGCAGTGGAATAGTTTAATTCATATCAAAATATCGATTCGTGCTAAATAAAAAGTTTTAATTCAAGCATTTGTCATTCATGACACTGAACAGGAGTTGTAATAAAGTTTCACCAATTTAATATAAACTGGCCAGATAAAAATATACTTTTCTCACAGAACGATTTTTTCTTATCTAGTTTATATAAAAACAAAAATGTCCGACCATTCTCAGATATAAGGCCTTTTCTGATTATACAGACGTAAAGTAATATTCCTCCCCCGTAAGTTTGATAATAACCAACCATAAATAACGTAGGACCTGGCATATATGTGTATCACTTTATACCATATCAGCACAGTGAGGTGAAATTATCGCAACAAATGTCAGCGTAGTAGAAGTAGTAACTATCAGTCGAGGTAAAAGAGATTACACGTAGATATGATTCGGGAGAAAGAATAATTTCGAGAAATAAAAGGGCGAAAAATAATTTTAAAACTCAATATCTAATGGAAGGCAAAGAGTGAAAGCATCTGTACCACTGAGACAGATCCCGACCTATATCATTCAAAGTTACCAACCACTGGCTACGATAATCGCGTAGATCCCAGCCAGATAGCCCGCAGCTAAAAACGCGGTTTAGTCCAACAGCCAGGTACCTCATGAACTGATTCTATATATGGGTCTGGTTGCTCCCAACTTTCTACCACGCAAGCCGCACACCACCCAACATCATATGTCGAGGTAGGTAGTGATCGAGCCTACGTAATACACATCCCAACTACTTTAGTTGATGAAGATTCATTACCTTACCAACCACTCTACCATTATTACCAAGTGTCCGGAGTCTAGTTTTAGCATTCCTCACCCATGAACACCAGTAATGACAACTCGACAATTTAACCTACTCAATAAAAGTAAAGCAGAACTAATACACGAGACAAATAGATTATACGACAAAAACACTTACCTTAAGAGTAGGAGCTCTCAATCGAGTTTTAATTGCTTCTTTCCATAAAAGCTGGAGCTCATATACTGCTTCATATTCCAAGTAAAGACAACATAAATCATTACATGACCAAGAAGATATAAGGTTTCGGAATTGCTCAATTGCACAATCAGTCAATATTAAAGGATCTGTAAATATACAGTCTTTTTTAATTGTATCAATGTCAACGGACTTTTCAACACTACCAATACATTGTGTTTGACCGTTGTAGAGTTGTTCTTGATTAAAATCAGAATGTGGGATCGAAACTCTGATGGAAATATTTGAATCTGTAGGTATAAATGCTTCAGAATTAACACCACATAACTGATAACTACTGTCTACATTAGAAGCACGTGTATCAAAGTTTATTTGATGATGTGCTAAAGAGTTTTTACATGTACAACTGTATGTACTAATCACAGTTGGGCTTGTTACGATAGAAGTCGATAATTCATCAATTGGCAGTGGATTAGTTTTCGTTTGTAAAGCGCTAGGTAACACATAGCTAGATGGACAATTTTTAGGACAGTGGCAAAATCCACTCAATTCCTTTCGATTACTTCTGTTACCAGAAGTTCCAAGACTTGTGCATCCCCAAGACTTGTTCAGACTCGAAAAGCTTGATCCCATTTATGAACAGATATGATAGACAGACCCGAAGCATTCCATTTGAATGTCTACGGGGATTAGATCTAACGTTAAAACGAAAAAAAAATATAACAAATTTTTACAAAATCGAGCGAAAACGTATCTCTTGAAAAGGCTAAGGTACATCAATGAAGCATATAAGAGTGATGAAATAGCATGAAATAAAGTGATGAAACTGGAAGTGCATACTATAGAGACGAAAATGTACATTAGGTTGGTAGTTACTTCTATACTTTCAAAGTATATTGAATGCTATACATATACCTTGAAATAAAACTGGATCTATAGAGTACCATCAAATATGAATAGTTTCAATAATATACAGTAGAAACACCTATGGAATTCTGATAGAAAAAATTAATGGATAATACTGTGATTAGCGTGAAGGTATCCACGTAAATTTTCTCATAGACATTGGATTAGGTAATATCAGTATCAGTGAATCTAAAAGCTTGTAATAGATTTAGAGAAAAATTCACCATTTACTCTAAAACAGTAACTGTAATCCTTGGCTTAAGTTTTAATCCTTTTAATAGAAATCCACAGAATACTAACGCAGTAGCTTTCGTCACGATTACCCACTAGTAACTTCTTTAAGGAAACTAAATCACTTAGCAATCGTCAAACTGACTAATCATAGCCTAGAAAAAGTACACTGTCAACAAATTTAACATATAGTGATAGGATTATTAAGAAATATTACTGCACATATTGGATCCTGAAAAAATAACTAAATTGACATTACTGCAAAGATCATATTTCTTAAAAGATATATTTGAACGGTACACATGTCAACAACACAGTTGCATTCAATATATAAATGTTTCATCCAAACTTCAGTTCCAAAAACCACTAAGAAACTAGTATGCATAAGTACACAAATTACCTTGTCTATTCTCTTAACTACATATACGCATGCTATCAAACTAGTGACGTCAAAACAGCTCTACCATATGGAGCTACAACCATCACCAAAAATGTACATGTATTTATAAATAATTGTGTACGCAAGATACTTCGGATTCGATCGCCGAATATAACACCAACAACAATCTACTGTGGCAGAGAACAAGCCAGCTTCCATCTGAACACAAAATTAGGAAAAGACACCTGAAATGGATAGGACAAACATTGCGGAAATCATCAAACTCCATCACAAAGCCAGTCCTACCTTGCAATCTTCAAGCCAAAGGAAAAAGAAGCACGCTAAAAAACACATTGAGCCAGAAATTGGAGGCAGATATCAAAAGAATGAGTCACACTTAGCAACAGCTGGAAAGGAGAGCCCAGGAAAAAATGGGTTGGAGAATTCGGGTCGGCGGCCTATGCTTCTCCACGACAGGTAAAAGGAGTAAAAGAAGGTTGGTACGTAAATGTTAAACCACTGAATCAGGCAAGAAATTCATTGAAATAACAGGTTCGTAAGTGGCTACACTTCGGAAAACAACCATCCCAGTCACTTAAGTCCATTTTTGGTCTTATACTACAAGTTCGTTAAATAAACAATTAGAGTTTAATTATTTAATCAACTCACATATATAAGATAATTGGTGTGATGAACCCTTAGTTGACTATCTTCATGTGATAATGAACTAGGTTTCAAGAAATTTATGATAGTGAATTTCGATGAAGCTCTAGAGCATGTAGGTTGGTGGCAGGTCATTTTTATTAGAAATCACCCGTACTTAAGTCTTAATGAGTGACTGTCTTATGAAATCGACACACTAACCAAGCACATATCGCTTACAATCTAAACTGTTTGTAGGCTTAACTATTTACATTTTCAAGTAATGAGGCGAATAAAGTTCTCGATGATCGTCTGATAGTAACGATTCTAGTTGTAAGAAACTCTAACTTATCCCTTATGGATCAAAAAACCCGTTCTGAAAAAATTATTCCGTTCAACCCACATACAACACGTAAACAAATCTATTTCCACATGATTCATTCAGTACCACTGTTGCTCGGTTTGATATAATCTTAGCATTAGGAACATGTTGACGGTCTGTAGTAGATATTAATAATACTATAACTTTTTACGATATATATGGAATATGGTGGTATTCGAAAGTGACACGAAATGATGGGAATATCAAAGAGCTTCATAATGACCTGGATGAAATAATAGAATAATTCGTTTGCCAAACGTCAAACAACCCCTATGATCGGTCACGATGTAGATTGATGACCAAGACGGGGACAAATACATACTGATAGATGTTTTATCACTCATTGAGATAAACCACAGTAACCCATGGGTTATTAATTGAGGTGAATAATATTAAGCAATTTATATGTGAAAACACGACGCTGCCAAGGGGTAAAGTACTGCAAACAAGCCGCTAGCACTTGTAAAAGTGGAGGTGGCCAACTAGTGGAAAAAATTTTAAAGGACGGTGTGTAAAAGGTACCAAGAATTTTAAATCTTGTATTTGGATGAAATCGAATTTCCCTATCACGATTGAGAGCCTGGAGTGGTTCGATCATTACGTTCAAATAACTTGATAGTTAGTTCCACATGACCTCCCTTCTCTTGTTTTTTTAGAAATAAATCATAGAAACAAAGAAAGTTAGCAAGCACGAAACCAGTAATGTGGTAGGGAACTAAAATTGAGGAGTAGGCTGACAATGAACAGAGTTTGCCACCCGTACACAAAGAATAAACCCCACCTGTAGACAATGGATGTATATTATCTGGAACCCCTACCTTCAGAACTTAAACGACAATTTCCTTTATGTAGTGAAGGAACAGCTAAAACAAGCTGTAACACAAAAGTATAGTATAAAAATATTTATTAGAGATTTTAAGGACCAAGAAGTCTTGCACCGACCTTTTAGAGATTTTACTAGTTTTGTGTCTGTCATTAGGTACTTTTGAGTAGCGAAAAATTCCAAAACTTTCAACATGAATTCATTTCTAAAGGCTTATTAGCGGTCTGAGTATGGTAATATGGAAACTCAGTGTCACTTAACCACCTAACTTCCTGTGCTGATGGTTTGGAACGATATCTGAGACTTTAATGACTATCAAAGCAACTGTTGATAAAACAGGTTGTGATTTGCCTATAACCAAAGAGAATAGTGACCCAGGAATAATCGGATTTAAAATGGCAAACAAGTTCACAACCAGGTCGCCAAAATGTTCAGATCTTGTTGATTTCAGGCCGATATTTTATAAGGTAGACACTAACTTTATAAAGGTCTAATTATGTAAGTTTGGGAACAGAAACTGTGACCGAATATTAAGGTCTCAAAAACTACCAAAATTAGCCAACCAACATTAATTTCTACAGAGGTAACTTTTATGTTTATGATATGGTTCACTTAAATAAAGAGAAACAAGAGAATTCAAAGACATCAGGAGACCTGTCTATTGAATAGTAACGCAAGTCGCAACTATAGCGCCAACAGTAACACCCAAACTTTAGACGACGACAGTGGTAAGAATAGAATACAATATCAAATATCCTTGTGACAAGCCAATGTAAACTAATACTCGCACTAAGAAGATCTTCTGGGTTACTATCGATCTTGAACTCGGGTGACTAAGGATTGAGTATAGTGTTCGCGACCCCTTCCAGTGAGAAGGACCTTGTTAAAAAAAACACTAAACAAAATATCATTCTAACCGTGGAAATTCAAAATTCTTCATATGAAACAGTTACGGCGCATCTTCGTGAAGGTCTGAACTATTCTGAAGTTACGAGGCTGATGCTTATTCTGACAATCAAAGTGACAATTTATACATTTCGGTTTCAATTTAGAAGAGACAAGAGGTCAGGCAGAATTTGTTAGTGGTCTCTCAGTCGATCCAACTGTCCTTTGAAAGTGTCGATAGATGTAGTTTCAATTACGTGTTTAGTTAATGATTCGACAATAAAGTCGATAGTTAGCAGGTAAGTTATTTGTTCTGAGCTTGTCAACTTTTTGGAGTTTCCTCGTAAATTCTTTGTCTTGGAAGATGAGATATGAGTACCTGAAGTTTCTGAATAATGTAGAAGACTAAGAGAACCGTTTAAATGCTGAAGAAATCAGAAGTTACATTTTGACAGTACTAGTGATAAGTAAAACCATTGCGTAGAAAATAAGCAGGAAATAAGTGCTTCTGGATAAGTGCTGCACTAACCCGTCGTAATAAGGAAGTACCTCATACACAAAAGGGATTGGTCTGACACCATACACTGGAGCACAAAGAACGCTTATCTGGTAGGAATCTGACGACTTTAGAGTTACCGAAATATCTTTCAAAACAAAAAGGAAGAGACTGTAGTGAATATCATCCAGTGCTACGTGTCCACGAATGACCTCAGTCAAGATGATAAGGACCAAATTTTTGGGAGAATCCAGTCAACCACAGAAGACTGTTCAAGAAAACACCTGATCATTCCAAGTTTGGACCTAAACCCAGATCTTGTACGGAGACATTATGGAGTGACATAGGCGAGAATGATTGGAGATGGGAGAATCTATGCACTTTCAACAACATATTTGTAAGTTGCACCATTTTATCACAAAATACATACAATGAGCTATGTGAGACCACACTAAAAAGAACACGATCGCCCATATCTGCGTCACTTAAAAGTTCAGATCTATAGAAGACATCAGAACAAAGAAAGGAGCTCTAGTCGTGACCGAGATGAAGAAATATTGAACCTGTGGAAAAAAACATCACGAAAGTATGTTATAGCCATTCTTTGAAACGCTAATAAACTCAGGGAATAAGATTATGGTCGAGTCACCTAGACTTGTGACCACATTGCAACTGGGTCGATAAGATTCGATCTGCACTAAAACTGACCTGACATACATGACACTGATCAACGAACAGTTATCAATCAATTGTAAAACACTCAATGGAATCATACTCATATTTTAGAGCATGTTCAAAGCCTAATAAGGTTGTCTGAAAGAAGCGTAAATGACCATAGGGAACAACTGAAAAGGCATTAGAGAAGCAATGACTCCAACAAACCAAGAACTTCTGGACCGTTAGAAGCATCAGAATAAACTGATGATCGATTTTGGTTTTTTGAGCAGGATTCAAAAGAGTAAGAACAGGACGAAGGAAAATAACGACAGTCGAACAAGAGCAAAGAAAACAAGGGCACAAGCCAAATACGCAGAAGCAAACGAGAGGGTGAAGAGGAGCATAAAAGCTGATAAGCGGAAACCTGTCAGAACTAGCAATCCAAGCATATAAGGCTACATGAGATAGAGCCACAAGAAAACCTTAAGATACAGCGGAGAATGCAAAAGGGAAACTGTTTTACCATAGCCACCAGTGTAGGGAGCAATTTCCTACAGGTTTAATTCTGAGCTATTTTCTAGACTGTCGAATACAGAGTCTTGGTTTGGCCAAAGTCAGAACAAGCAAATGTTGTTTTACAATGAACGTCAAACTGTGATTGGTTAATAAACAGATACAGTAGTACAAGGTCAACAGGAGTTAATGTGGTGGTGGGCGTTTCCCTTTATTATTGGTGGGTTCGTCTATTGATCACATTTTACACTCCCCCGAAACGCGCACCACGTCCATTGTCCAGGGTCGTCGTCGCCGGCAGACGACCGGCTTCTTCTAGCAGGCATGGGCTTCGCACATCTCTGACGATTTCTTCTTTTGAAGTTCTCAACTTTGCCGTGCGGACTCGTCCGTCCGGGCCATAGTTTACTTGCTTGACAATAGCCTTAGGCCATAGACCTCTATTCATTTCGACGTTACTAACGAGGACTAAGTCACCCGGTTGTAAGTTCTTGTGTACGTCCAACCATTTGTCTCTTGTTTGGAGAGTTGGTAAATATTCTTTTATCCATCCGTTATTCCGGAATGCGCTGGTTAGTCTTTGAGCTTCTTTCCATCTTTTGTTGTACAATAACATCCTATCCACCGAAGCATCGTCGAATGATAATTTTTTATGAATCAACAACAACTTGCTCGGAGTAAGAGCTTCTAGGGCACCAGGGGCATCTGTCATCTTAACCAGAGGTCTGACATTCAGTATCCATTCAGCCTCAGTTGAGAAGGTTTGCAGAGTTTCATCGGTCAACACGTTTTAGAATAAAAGCACTCTTAAAATTCTTCTAATTGATCTTATGATGCGTTCCCACACACCACCTCGATGACCTGCCCTAGGTGGGTTAAAACGCTACTCACATTCTAGTTCTTTAAGGTGGTTTTCTATTTTGTTAGTATTCCAGGAACGTATAATTTGTCTCAAACTGGCATCTGCACCTCGAAAGTTTGTGCCGTTATCACTAAAAATACGCTTTTGACATCCTCTTCTGGGTATAGTAACAAGTTTCAGAGGAGCAACCCTAGACTTAGCTAGCAGGAATGAACAATGGATCTGACCAGAAACACTTTCATAACGAATATACGCAACAACACCATGCTCAAGCTCGGAGGCGTCGGCAAAACAATGAATTTGCGAAGATGATGGTTCAAACCCCGGTTTCAAACACCTTGGTATTCATAATTGGTCTAACCTTTTTATATGTCTACACCAATTATTCCACTTTACTTGACAACCTAAGGGTAACTCGGCATCACAGTCTAGTTTCTGACGACAAGTATCTTGTAAGATCATTTAAGCCGGTAATATTATTGAGGCTACAAACCCAATTGGATCAAAGATAGATGTTACATACGATAAAACATTCCTTCTGGTTGGGTTTCCGTGAAATTCATGAACTTTGAAACATAATTCGTCTGTTCGGACGTTCCACTCTATTCCCAGAGTTCGTTTGCTTGTTTCATTGGACTCGCAGACAATAATGTTTCCTTCAGCACGGTCTTCTTCTGGAATGAACTCCAGTACTTCAACGCTATTACTAGTCCATTTAGTTAAGTTAAATCCTCTCAAACTTAGGAGTCTTTTAAAGTGCGAATATGTCCGTTTGGCTTCTTCTATAGTATCCACACTTATCAGTAAATCATCCACATAAAACTGTTCTTTAGCTGCTTGCGTAACAGCCCTGGGAAATTTATCTTGATTATCAGAAATCGTTTTTTGTAAAGCAAAGGTGGCGCAACATGGCGATGAAAGTTCTCCGAACAGATGAACTTTCATCCTATAGATCTCGAGTTCCTTTTCTAAGTCTCCACCTGGCCACCACAAATATCTAAGAACATCTCGATCATGCGGTGGAACTATTACTTGATTGAACATGGCTTCAATGTCCTCCGTAAGACCAACTGGTCGTGCCGAAACATGGTGAAAACGTCTACTAGGTTATTGACTAAATCAGGCCCAGAATAAAGGTTCTTATTAAAAGACGTTCCAGCATACTGAGCTGCACAATCGAACACTATTCTTAGCATGTTAGGTTTCTTGGGGTGGAAGACTAGATGATGAGGAAGATACCAAATTCGCCCATCAGTGTGGTTATCGTTTACCTTTTCATCGTAATCTCGTTCTACATACCGAGTCATGGAGTCTACATAGTCTTGGGACAACTTCGTATCCCGAGTAAGTCGACCTTTCAAACAGCTAAGTCTACGTTCTGCTAATTCTCTGTTATTAGGTAACTTGTGGTTGTGCCTCCAAGTTAGAGCTATTTGATAGTGCCCGTTTAACCTCTGTACTGAATTTGATATAGCACTGAGTGCTATACGATCTTCTACAGACATCGATATAGTACGACTAAATGGATCTTTGAATTCAGTTGAGTACAACTGTTCGAACTTATCCTCTAATTCCTCTTTAACTGAGAGGTGGTTGAGTGCACGATTGCTTTTAAAAGGTTACCTATAGGAACCGAACAGCGTCCAACCTAACGTAGTCTTCATGGCGAATGGTTCATTCGGCTTTCCAGTTCTTATCTCTTTCATTTCGTATACAGTCGGTGCGTTGCACCCGATCAATAGTTTGACATTCTCATCCTCTGCTCTAGGAAAACTTATGTCATTTAAATGCGTCCAGTATTTCATTTGAGACATCGTTGGTACTGTCTTGCGCAACATAGGTAATCTCTCGACTGTCCATACGTTTGGGATTCTAAATGACGAAGACGAGTCTAGGGAGGAAACCTCTAGTTGAACCTCTTTACACTGAATTGTGGAATGGTTATTCAACGTTTTCAACGAAATCGTCTTAGGCCCTCCTTCTAAATCCAACCTTTTAGCTAGATCTTCTGTAATAAGCGAGGCATCCGACCCACTATCTATGAAGGCGCAAGTCTGTGCTACCTTTTCTCCATTTCTTACCAGTACAGGTACTATTGCGAATGCTGCTTGTTTCTGTACACGCTCAACACTTTTCTCCGTACATAGCTGGGTGTTAATGTGTGCATCAATATTAGTATTCCTTGGTTCTTCCTGCATTTCGTGTAACAGGGTATAGTGTTTCCAGCCACACCCTTCGACAGCACACGACCTCGGCGATCGACAGTTTTTTGCTACGTGGTTTGCCTTCAGGCATACATTACACAACTTGTGTCTAAGAACGAATTCCTTCCTTTCTCTAACATTCTTGTCTTTACATTTTTGACGTTGATCTAAAGAATGATTACTGGAGCACTCCAAACAAGATGAACTGCGTAAGAGAGCATTGTCATCACTAGCAATCGCATAAGATATTCTTGCTGCATTGCAATCTGTACTAATTTTCCCTTTTAAAACATCAACATTTTTATTGCCACTATTACTACCGTGGTTGACAAGTAAGCCGTACCTAGTATTAGCAATGTCCAACTGCTCTTTCACAAATTCGAAAAGGTCCTTGAATGAAGGTTCTCTACCTGTCTTAAGAATTCTACACGCAGCTTTAACCCATTCTTTTTGCAGGTGTAACGGGAATTTTAAAAACATGCATTCGGTAGTCCTTGTAGAATTAAGATCAGATACATAGTTCATCTGCGTGAGTGTTAGCGCACAAATATGCATCTCACGAGACAACCTCCTTAAATTATATGGATCGGTCCCTTTGATGGCAGGGATGTTCAGCATATTATTAATAAATGCATGTGCTACTACATGCTTCTGACCAAATGCTTCCTCGAGAAGTTCTAGTGCTTTACGATAGCCTTCTTCTGGCTCAAGCAATGCACAATGAATAATAGTGTTTTTAGCTTCACCATCACAGTACTGGATCAAATAGTTTAACCTAGATCGGAACCCAATGCTCTCGTCAAAACAGTCCTCAAAATTCCGTATGAAGCTCCGATAGTTCATAGGGTTGCCATCAAAATTTATAATCTCTTTCTCTGATAGGTCTAAAGCTCTAGACATCATTGTTACCCAGTCTTTTCTAGGAGGAAAATCAACGACATGTGAGACAGATGTAGACTCATACGTCATCGCCTTTTCAACCATAACTTGATTATAATGTTCTCTTCCTTTTTGGCGTAACCGTTCTAGCTCGATTTCTTTTTCTGTCTGAGCTAAACGTACTTTAGCTAATTCTAACTCTAACAAGGGATCCATTCGATAGGTATTTCCTTCGAGCTGGTCATCACTATGAGTTTCTGAATAGTGAGAAGACAATTCGAGAATATGATCAGTTTTATGACTCTCCATAGACATCTAAAGGTACCCAATGTACGAAACTTTGATGAGATACTGTTCGAAAATTTGTAGGGAGCAATTTCCTACAGGTTTAATTCTGAGCTATTCTCTAGACCGTCGAGTACAGAGTCTTGGTTTGGCCAAAGTAAGAACAAGTAAGCTATTTGGCTAGATAAACTTTATGTTTCTAAAACATAAATTAACATCGGTAGTGTACAAACAAATAGTACGGTCTATTAATGCAGGGAGAAACAGAGACAAATAACATACCGAACAGTAGCCAGAGAATAGGAAAAATGAGTCAACAAGCAAATGTTGTTTTACAATGAACATCAAACTGCAATTGGTTAATAAAGAGATACAGTCGTACATGGTCAACAGGAGTTAATGTGGTGGTGGGCGTTTCCCTTTATTATTGGTGAGTTCGTCTATCGATCACATTTTACAACCAGTCTAGAAAAAAGAAGGGAAACAAATCACCGATATTCAACAGCAGCGGGACAAAGTGAAAAATCCATAGAATTTTCGGACAACCGAATGGACACTGTGATAATAAAGATGAACTTCCCTGCTGATGATACCGTATCAAAAATCGAAAAAGTCAGCAAGGCGATCTTATGAATCAGAAGTATATATATTGCTATTGTTATTTTTCGTGTACTACATAAAATTCATCTCACTATCTTCGCTTCATCTTTCTTAGAGCAGTTATCAGGTAATTTGTAGCGTGGATAGTGATAACTATCCGGAGTACAGCCTACATTGTTCTTTAAATTATGGTTGGATAAACTAAATGGACGAACTCGTCAAGATATTACGAACTGCATTGATATTTAGTAATCCGACTTCTTGATACATATTTAGCAGTTTAAAATAAACATTTGCATGCATTCCTATGTGTCACTGGCTTGCGAAATATAATGTTATTTGAAAGATCGGTGACTATTCTATTCCGTCCACAACCATTTGAACCATTTGTACTGATATTGTCATTCGATGCTAAAAGGCTCTCAATTTAAATACTCAAGGTCGTGAGAAGGTTTGTGATCTTAAGATTTTAATACTGATTACTCAGTATACTAAAGTCATTTCTTCGAAATTGGGTCAGTTTTCTGTTTTTTTTAATTATTCGGAATCACACCGGCTTGGCATAGCTCACTGAACCAAATATCTAGGTCTTGAACTCATAACCACTTATAAATGTACACTGAGCTAAATTGTTATTGAAGCTCATATTAGTATAAAACTACCTCAGTCAAATGTTTCATTCATTTTGATTCCGTAGGTGTTATTTTCTTTTGTCAACCAGAATTGATTTTCTATCCAGCATTTCTCTCTGTTTTACTGTTTGTGTGTGAAACATGTCCTCTAGAAATAATGAGTGTCTGTAGGTCACTATTATATGGTAACCGACACATTTCGAATTGTTGCTAATGTATTTTCGGACTATCGCACAATCTCCCAATTCTGGATACATTTTGGGCGAAAACGCAGGTTTTATTTAAATTCTGGGGTTTCTATACAATTTTCTTCAGGATGAACAGAATAGTTAGTGGGTATAATCTGAACCTTACATCGAATAAGTCGATTTTTCCTCAGAGTTGGGAGGTTAGTCGAGTGAGTAATTATGAGATTAGACGCGGAATCCTAGGTAACTGTGGTTAATGGCAATAAACCTTTACAAACTAAATTGGCCGGCGCATTTATTATCCATAGCCAATCACCACGCACTTTCGTATGCAATAGCCCTAGATGCATGAGTACATTGAACGAAAGGCAGTGGCGGCAAAACCAACACACGGCATCAGTTTACGAAGTTATTGTCAGTTAATCTAAGCTATATTATCAGATGCAAACTACCCGGTTGGGGTCCAAGTAATAATTGCAATAATCGTTTGAAGACGTTGGTTGACATAGTTCGGGATTGGTGGCAGTAATATGAGTGCATTCATTCCTTATAACAATGGCTTTACTCAATATAGTGTTTACTCCACCTCGGGCGCCATTATATCTTCACATATATACGTTCAATCGTCTTTTTTCGGACTTTATTCTCAAGGTTTTGCCTTCTTCATTACCGTTGCTACTATTTTATCTTGACTCCTTTACTATTCATCTTGCTATAATTATATGGGAACTTGGGTTAACACCCATCTGTACTGGTCTCTACTTTGATTATAACTGACTAACTGAAGCTCAATATGTATGTGGTGTGGCAACTCGAACTGATGTACGTACGTACGAAGTTCTACGTTGTTACTGACTGACTGATCATCACATACAGAAATTTCAAATAACAAAACACGTACTTCATTTTTATGTTCCCTTTCTGTCAATATATGGGAAGCCCAGTAATTATCAACTTCAAAACATTTCTTGGCCAAGGCCTCTAAAGGCTCTGCGAAGTACACATAACACATGAAACCTTTTATCAGCTGCTGAACTGCATTGTACAGTTGTCCTCAAGTCATGACTTACAATTACACACAGATCTTTTTGTCCTAAAACGTGATTGGCATCGCATCAATAGTGTATTGTTGGTTATTGTTGTGTCCCATTTAAATCAACATTTTTTATGAGTTTGTTCCTAAACATTGATTCCTGGACCACCTAAATGGTTCGTTTAGATCAGTTTGCTGCTCTAGCATATCGCTTTCACTATGTATTACCCTCTGGACGTTTATACCATCTGCATATAAGTGATGATCTAAACATTTATAGCGATTCGTTGACGTAGAGTAGGAATAACAAGAGACTTAAGAGAGTAACTTGTTGCACACCGTCTTTTACAGGCTTCCATCCAGATGAAGTGAAGCGTAATCCCACTCCATATTCTTTCTAATTGTAAATTTTTTATCCAACCCAAAAGTTAAAAAATTACCTAATGTTTTTAGGTGGATTTCCCTTGCAAAATCCAGGTACCAATCAACGTTGATCCCAAAGTAAATGATCATAACTTCTTATAAGTATCGAAAAAGGGTGCTGAATCTGTCATATTTAGTGAAAAATCGAATATAGTCCTATCCATCTTTAGTAATTTAATTTAAATTTTTAAGTAATATGTCAACTAGAATGACCAAAGACTCGTAGATATACTCAGTCAATAAACCTACAGAAGCTACTTGTCACATATAAGGCCAAACCAAGATTTAAATCCAATGGAATAACGGAAGCAGCAGAAGAACCCAAACATTAGGCAGATATGAAACTGGACGTTTACAAACAGAAATGGTTCGAGCATTCGTTATGTATGCTCAACCACTAATTAACTCGAAGCACGACTTTCGTTGCTGGAGGAGTATTTCAAAAAAGTTGGGTAAGGGACCAAATAAAAGACGTGATATTAGTCCGTGAGGTTCTTAGCTGTTGTTCTGAACCATGTTAGTAGGTATAAACAACCTAGATAGGGTTTAAGAGATTATGATGACCAATAATTGGAGACTTTAGGTGAAGTGGCTCGAAATCGGTTGCAGTAATCCACATGCATCTATCCTTTGTGTACTCCTAGATCTACCATGTGTACTTCGGTCCAACTTGACATACATCTCAATATATAGGATATCAGTAAATTTTATGACCAAATGACTGTTTGAACAAACTGTGAGATGAAGGGTGTTATTTGGACTGATATCATCCAGTGAACTATAGGAAAACAAGTTCCATTTTGGCAAACTTCCCGATTAATGAATGAAATTATGTAATGTGACGCGTAATTTAACAAAAATATAATGTACATTCAAAAGAGTCGCACTTATGCGGTTTGTGTATTTTTGAATCGTTGAAAAGATCAGGTTCGAAGAGAAGTATGAAGTCGCATACTAATCTCAACATTGCTTTTTATTATTAGAAGATCTAATGAAGCCAAATTCACACGAACTGCTATCATTATATATTATTGATAATAAAGCGCTGAAAATAGTAGGAGGATATGCAGTATCTTTATTAATGTAAACGGGTAGTACAGTTGGTCTTATGTTAGGAGTCACAGAAATGTTTACAGCAAATGCATAACAATATTGTTCCAAATATCTATGCCGAAAATCATCGAAATCATCTAGAAATTTGATGCACACTAAAGTATATTCACGACGGTGGCAACATATCCTCTATATTTTTTCATGTTAACTGAATGGCCTCCGACTTTCAGTCATTAATTCACTGGTTCGGATCCCGCCCCACCTACTTCGGTTTGGGCACCCGAAAAGTATTACTAGTCCTCACAATTATACTGTAGCCTAAAGCCGTGTACATTTAACTATGAGTTATCATCATGAATTTTTTTGTGATTTAATTTACATATTTGCAGACTGAAATAATCCATTTCTTCCATCAAATATGTAAAGCTTGGACTTGTTGTTTCAGGAAAACGCATGTGATAACCCCTCATTCCTTTAAAGACTATGCCACCATCTACTATGACTTTCGATTTTTGCGGTTAGGTTGGATACCCCATGTAACTACATGAATGCATAATACGGTTACCAAATATTATTGATTGATATCAGCTCCCTGAAAATGAGACAGCTTATGCAATGTTTTAAAAGTTAAAAAATAAGTAGCCCAAAACACTATAAAATTCTACATATTCCATATTTTTTGCTGACGTTAACGCGATGAATTTTTCATGTTTCAGATATGTATATGAGCGACTGTATTATTCATCGCTAATCAAATGGTTGGTCGAAAATCTTCCTCTTATTACCATAAATTGTTTTTAGTTAGAGGAAAGACTACATTTGGAGTTGGAAAATCTAAAAACTGATGTGAGTTACAAAACATTATAATATCAGTACTATGATTAATAGCTGACAGTGACTGCTCAGCAACTGAATGCCAAGACACAAGCAGTTTCAATTTTGAACGCCTCATTGGAAAAGTGCAAAAAAGAGAGAAATGAGTTCAAGAGAATGGCAGAACAAGTATTTTCTTAGTCTATCTTCGACGTCTTTTAGGTAATGAATCGATACCAGATGCTTAAAAAAACTCTTATGGAATGTGATAAAGCAGACCAATATTCTACCCCTGATATAATGCATTTATCGACTAAACAAGTATATGGTTACATTTTCCCTCCAGAAGTTTTGTAGCTTGCTTCTTTGTTAGTTGAAAGCAGAGAAGCTAACAAAAGTTTAGAACATGAACTAATGAATTCTCGCGAAAAAATTGAAGAACTCGAAGGAGATATTAAGGTGTTGAGGAGACAACTTAGCGATCGTTCATGTGAAAACCAGCACACAACGGATCCTAGAATTTCTGGAAATGACCGCCAAACCTACGTAACTCAGTTGGAAGAGCTTACTCTTCAGGTACTTAATTTTTTTCCAGTGCCTGTACATCCTTTTTAAGTGAAATTTCCCTTAAAAAATTTATATAGTTCTTGATCATTTTGTACAACAACTTGGGTCGACTCATGTATGTCCCAGGTTGTATATTTCTTATGACTAACACACACACCTAACTACATAACCAATATGGTTCGAATTTGTATATTCTTTGGTAATCTATCTTATGCATTTACAACACCTTGACACTAGATGAATAACGATAGATGCAGGTCTTAATTAGAACCAGCATATATTACCTATGTCATATTGTGTTATGCCTTTCTACAGTTTAATCCTGTCAACAAATTATGTATTAAAGATTTATTTTACTGTTCAGGTTAAGAAATTTTATAAACGAATACACTCTACTGCTACGAAATTTCGATATGTAGTGGCACAACTTATTACTTGTGCAGCTTCCCAACCACTTATTTGCAAACAACGTGTATGCCGGTTCAAATCATCAAATTTTGTATCCATATAATGAAAGAAACAGATAATACGACAATGAACACGAGAAAAACAGTAGGAATAATGACATGAGTGGTGCGACCAAAACTAAACATAGAAAATGAATTTCAAAATTAAACGAATGCAATAGAGAATTTAAACAATAAGAATAAATACATAAGAACTGAAAATTTGTAAGATGGTTCAGAACGAATACATCTATATTAATGCCTTTTAGCGCTTTGTCCAAATAGATAGACTATGACCATTTAGATTGACACTGTTTTGTCTGTTCACCCTTTATTTCTTTTTAACTCAGTTCCTATGCTTTCCGCTATAGTATATAGAGATTGATGGCGCTTGGGTGTGCGTAACAGCTGTTTTAACCATATCAGTCAATAATGATTTCAGAACTTCGTCAACAAACGTACTATCTGTATGTCGTACCCCACTTACAAACCAACCTTCTACTGTAATATAACTTTTCTCTGTCAGGAGCTCGTAATACTCTACTGAGTGAACTAAATTGATGCAAGCCAAGGATCTAATCCTAGTAATTAAAAATCTAGGCCATATACCAAGCCATAGGTCTACTTTTTTCGAATACAACCCCTTCTTATTTTGTCGACGAATAGACTGTACTACATTGTGTTCACTACTTTGTCAGTTTGACGTTACTTTTTCTAAAAAAAGAATTCGACCTATTTCTCTTAAAGGTTTCTGAACTCAAACGCGAATTGGGGCAATGTTTTGATGAGAAACAAGAAATTGCAACGGAACGAGATATATATCGTAATAAATGTGATCGACTGAACAATGAATTAAATTATATTTTAAGTGGAGATGAACGAAAAATTCAAGATATCGATACCTTAATAACTGAAAGCAGGTGAGTGAGTAATCACCATTTTTCTCATTAGCTTTATGGCTATTGTAATTTCGTAATATTGTACTTAACAAATTTTCAGTAATGAAGCACTGCACACTTTAGTGCCTAGTGGACTTGTTTCTAGTGTTCCGCTGTAATACTTACAGACTAGAGTGTAATTATTAGTATAGGGGGAAGAGATTATTGAATGTTATTGAGACAACGAATCCGAATCCAGTAATGTGCATGTCCGAAATTCTATTGAGAAACCATGACTAGTGGAGTTCAAACTTATCAACTCTCAGCAAGGTATCCACCGAAGACAATAGAAGGTGATTGAGCGATATCACTCATTAATTGAAGTTAGACGTCTACACCACTGGATTCTGCCCCAATGATTTAGAGGTTAAGTGTCTGCGCCCTAGATCGAAAATCGTGAGATCCACAAACCCCGACCGAAGCTGCTACCTTGACGCGGTGGTCGGGCTTGCCTATCGTGATGACCCAACCGAGCTATATTAGCTGGAACATATGTTCCTGTAGGTTCTACCATGCCAGGCAGGTCGATTGGAGAACAGTCAGTCAGTCAGTAACAACGTAGAACTTCGTACGTACGTACATCAGTTCGAGTTGCCACACCACATTAGCACACAGATGCAGTGGTCGATTCAAATCCCGTAGTGGTAGAGGTAATAAGAGTATAAGCAGTAATCAGGAAAATTAGTGTTTGGAGATATTATTTAAAGAGTATAATACAGTGAAATAAATTTGGGAAGAGAAAAAAAGAAAGGGACATGAAAAATTCAGAAGATTAGAATTTGGGAGAACACAAAGAGTGGATGCACCTGTGCCATTGCAAATGATTTTGAGCCATGTCATTCAGGGTTGCTATCATCTCGCGGTAGTCTACACCTACCAACATGATTCAGTCCACTTGTCAGTGACTTCATGGACTTGTGCCATGTTTTGGTCTGGTCGCCCCTAGCTTTCTTCCAACCTACTCCTATACCACTGAACATCGCACGTCGAGGCAGTCGGTCGTTGGGCATACGTAACACGTGTCCCAGCCATCTCAACTGATGAAGTTTCACTACGTCATCAATTGATTTGCCATCCTTACCTAGTACCCGTTTCCTGACAACTGTATTACTTACTCGATGGTCCCAGGATATACGAGCAATATTTCAAAGACACCTATGATCAAATACTAGTTACCTACGAATATCTTCTACCCTTACCGGCCATGTTTCACTGCCATAAAGTAGGACGGAACGAACTGCTGCGCAGTAAACCCGTCCTTTGGTTGATAGACGGATATCTCGCCTACGCCATAAATGACGCAAGTTGGTAAAAGCTAGTCTAGCCTTCTGTATCCGTGCTGAGATTTCGTCACACACCAGACCACAAGGGCTGATGAGACTTCCAAGATAAGTGAAGCGATCGACACGCTCAATTACTTCACTCCCTATCATTAGTTCGGGTGTCAATGCAACCCAATCCTGAAGCAACATTTTGCATTTCGAGGGGGAGAATCGCATCCCGAACATGCTTGCATTGTTGCTTAGAGTGGTCAGAAGACTCTGCATTTTGTCAGCGTCTTCATCAAATAAAAATATGTCATCAGCATATTCTAAGTCAACAAGTGAACCTCCCGGTAGAAGTTCAACCCCTGGAAATCTAGACGACGAAAGTGTAATCTCTAAAAGTACGTCGACGACAAAGTTGAACAAGAATGGAGAGAGTGGGCGACCCTGACGAACACCACTCGAGGTATTCAATTCTTATGACAGTTCGCCATAAGCTCTCACTCTACCAGTTGTGTTCGAGTAGAGAGCCTTTATAAGGTTAATGTACTTCTTTGATACTCCTTTCAGTGACAAACACTGCCACAGAACCTTACGATCAACAGAGTCGAATGCCTCCTTAAGGTCGAGAAATACTACCATTGTGGGGCGTCTGAATGTGTGTCTGAGTTCCAGAACCTGACGCAGTGTGAATATCTGATCTATACAACCACGTCCAGGTCGAAAACCAGCCTGATTTTCTCTAGTCTATTCTTCACGAGCTTTGGTTAGACGTTGAAGTATTATTGAAGCTAATATTTTAGATACTATATTTGTCAAAGTGATTCCTCTGTGATTGTCACAAGAGGACTTTTGTCCTTTCCTATAGACTGGCACAATCAGTGATTGAGACCAGTCAGATGGGATTACGTCCAGTTTCCAAATTCTACCTAAGACCTCAGTTAATCTCACTGCTAATACTGAACCATCATCCTTAAAAATCTCAGGAGTAAACCTGTCAGGGCCTGCTGCTCTCTCTCGCTTCAAATTTCCTATGGCTTTTTCAACTTCGTAAAGAGTCGGAGGACCTACACTAACTTGCCATTCAGGTTGACTGGAGATCGTGGGAAACTGAAGTGTGGCTGAAGGCCAGTTGAACTGATCCCTAAAGTGTTCTGCCCATCGATCCAATCTCCTGGATTGAGAATGTATAATATATCCATCTTTCTCTGAGAGTGTTTCGCTAACAGTCGGTTTCCTAATACCGGTTTCCTTAACAAGTCTGAACAATTGTCTGCTATTACCTATTGCTGCTGTCTTTTCCATCTCTCTTGCTTTCGCTACCCACCACTGTTCACGATCATTGCGTAGACTTCTTGTCAGCTTGCGCTTAAGCTGACTCCACCCTTCATTATGTTCAGAGCCAGGTGGAATGAGTTTCCGAGCATCTATCAGTGCGATAGATGCTGCTGAGATCCAGTGTTGCTCCCTAACCTTACGGGTTACCGTACTAGCAGATATCACTGCTGTTTCCACAGCTTTTCGGATATCATTCCATGCTGCCTCGGGGTGGGCATCACATACATGGCTGCCTAACTGTTTTCCTAGTTGTTCCTGAAATATACTCTTAGCTTGACTATCATTAAGTAGGCCCCTAAGAGGTTTACTTGCAGCGTCTTTCCTACATCCAGTAAGACGCAGGCAAATACGCGCTCGTACTAGAGCATGATCTGAATCTAAGCATGTGCTACAAAATGAGCGACAATCTTCTATCGAGCCGTGCGCGACCGGCCTCAAGCAGTTGTCCCTTGGACACTGCGGTCACGCTCTCAGGTCACTGAAACCACCTCTAATCCAATTTCCTTTTCAGGTACCTCCAGAAGAACCCTTCCTCGGTGTGGGCAACCGGGAAGTGATAACCACCCTCATACCTCTTACAGCACTCGAGACCACTAGTGTGGATATATGACTGAATCACAAAACTACAAACACACCTATCCGACCATTTAATCAACAAACTAGCCGTCAATATCCAAAATAACTGGCGTAAATACTGAATGCGATAAAGTCATTCGCAATATTAGTCTGTCGATCGTGTGTGATACATCCTATCTTTTCTGTCTTCACTTACCAACCAATCACTGCTTACATTTTATGGATTCACTACTGGTTAGCTTTCTCTTCATTGAAAGTAATATTTCTGAAACATTTCACCTGAAGAGATCATTTCCTGTCTTCAGTCTGACCCTAATATAAAACGTTTATCTCCTTTTTTGAAAATCCATCGAACGATATGGACCTTGTCAATTCATCATCATCTAATGTGCTTTAAATCTCTTGTGTTTTGCCTTTTTTGTTTGTTGGCAAAGCTTTGTGGTGGTCCAACATGACTCTTGGTACATGTATGCTTGCGCTATTTTGTTCAGGTTGTAAAGAATATAGAGGGCTCCTGGATCTTTTGGAAACCATTGCAAAATTACCCTCGTGAGTGGTATATTTATAACAGAGCACTACTCAGATTGAGCGTCAAGCGTAGGTCACATGTCCGAAATCTACTCTACTTGTGTTGGTTTTGCCAGTCGCGTAGCATCACTGACAATCACACGTATACATCTAGCGTGATCGAAATCCGAGTTTGGTAATTTATTACTTGATAAACAAGCTGCCCTATTCTCTATTTATTTATTTAATACATATGAAATTTGCTACAACTGGGCACCAAAAATGTATACGCCAAACAATAAATCATTTACTTCATAATTATTAATCATCATATTTGTGAGTGTGTTAGAATACTGCCCGGGCACTTATACTGAATCAGGTGGTAGACCACTTACCAGGCCTTTGCCCCAGAGGAATAATCCATAAGACAGCAATGCAATGTCAGGAGATACAGTTCCGTGGTAGCTTGCGACCAGAGTAATTCTATATGCCACTTGTTCCCTTAGGATCTTGGAGCCTATGCACACCATTGATTTAGTAGAATCAGGGTTGTTCGACTTCTATAGACAGACCCTCTGTACATACCAACCCTCTCAATTTCGTAAAACACCCCACCTCATGAAAACAATAAGTATGATTTTCTTAGCAGAGGTTGCCAACGTGTAGCTTTGTAAATGTATTTTAGGAAGAAGAACTGACTCATCCCACCCTAGATTTTTACAAGGGTATTTGGGATTTCCAATTAATTATGAGTTTGGCTTTTACATATATTTTTATGTGAGCGTCTAATCAATTTACTTCAAAAATTTTCTCAAAATTGATTGAATTTTTATTGTCATTTTCTCGCTCTACTATCCTTTTTATGCCAGAATCTTGAAAGAGCAAATCCAATCGTTGGAAATGGAAAAGTCTTTAGCATTGAGCACAGTAACTAAATATAAAGTTAGTCATATATTTCCTTACATATATCATTGTATAGCATATTGAAATGAAGGACTTTATTAAAATCTGCATGACATTTTTTCAAGAGGATGAAATCAACCAGAGTTAACTGGTTCATCTTTACTCACTTACTCGCTTACTCACTTACTTTACTTTACTTATTGTTATTGTCACTCTAAATCATCAATTAATTGAAGTTGGGAATATGTATTACTGGTATTAATGGTTTTAGTTCTCCTTCTTAGTTGTCAGTGGAGTTTTTCCTGAACATTGTTGAGTATTGTGTAGTATAGAAACAGCCGGATAACACATGTATGTGGTTGTTGAAATCTTATCATGAAGTATCTGTTGTGATGTCTGAGTCAATAGACTATTCTTCCAAATAATATATATGTTTAATTAAATAAATATATGCTTCCCTAATATTTCACATGACTAGGGAAGAGATATCATCATTGGTGGTTATTTAGTGTTGTGGCTACTCTTACTAAGTAGTGATATTTACTACAGTCCATTAACATGTTCCTCATGTTGAGATTATATCAGACCGAGCAACAGTGGTACTGAATGAATCATGTGGAAATAGATTTGTTTACGTGTTGTATGTGGGTTGAATGGAATAATTTTTTCAGAACGGGTTTTTTGATCCATAAGGGATAAGTTAGAGTTTCTTACAACTAGAATCGTTACTATCAGACGATCATTGAGAACTTTATTCGCCTCATTACTTGAAAATGTAAATAGTTAAGCCTACAAACAGTTTAGATTGTAAGCGATATGTGCTTGGTTAGTGTGTCGATTTCATAAGACAGTCACTCATTAAGACTTAAGTACGGGTGATTTCTAATAAAAATGACCTGCCACCAACCTACATGCTCTAGAGCTTCATCGAAATTCACTATCATAAATTTCTTGAAACCTAGTTCATTATCACATGAAGATAGTCAACTAAGGGTTCATCACACCAATTATCTTATATATGTGAGTTGATTAAATAATTAAACTCTAATTGTTTATTTAACGAACTTGTAGTATAAGACCAAAAATGGACTTAAGTGACTGGGATGGTTGTTTTCCGAAGTGTAGCCACTTACGAACCTGTTATTTCAATGAATTTCTTGCCTGATTCAGTGGTTTAACATTTACGTACCAACCTTCTTTTACTCCTTTTACCTGTCGTGGAGAAGCATAGGCCGCCGACCCGAATTCTCCAACCCATTTTTTCCTGGGCTCTCCTTTCCAGCTGTTGCTAAGTGTGACTCATTCTTTTGATATCTGCCTCCAATTTCTGGCTCAATGTGTTTTTTAGCGTGCTTCTTTTTCCTTTGGCTTGAAGATTGCAAGGTAGGACTGGCTTTGTGATGGAGTTTGATGATTTCCGCAATGTTTGTCCTATCCATTTCAGGTGTCTTTTCCTAATTTTGTGTTCAGATGGAAGCTGGCTTGTTCTCTGCCACAGTAGATTGTTGTTGGTGTTATATTCGGCGATCGAATCCGAAGTATCTTGCGTACACAATTATTTATAAATACATGTACATTTTTGGTGATGGTTGTAGCTCCATATGGTAGAGCTGTTTTGACGTTCGTATTGAAGTTTCCTTGATGTTGGCTGACATTTGTTTTGAATCCCATACGCTCTACTGTTTTAGGAATTCTGTCATCGCCTTGGCAATCAAAGATGCACTGGAAGGATGCACTTTTCTATCAAATACGTTTAAATAGGTGATGTAGTTGATAAGGGTTTTTGAACTATTCAGTTATGCAACCAACTGTCCAACATTTGAATATATATATATATATATATATATATATATATATATATATATATATATATATATATATAAACACTTGGGACGCACGGTAGTTGTAACTTGAAAGTCTGTCTATGTATAGAGATAAAGTTCTTTATAGTATCATTTGCGCTGCGTTATCTTGACATTCTCTTTGCTTCTATGGGGTCTGCTAAAATTGACGATGGATTCAGTAATTTTTACGTCAAGATAAGAGCGACCTTTTCACCCGTTTGTTTCTAAATTCTTTTGAAGGTTTTTAAAGAATGATGATTGATCCAAGGATTCACAACATTTTTCTGTCTTTGCAATACTTTTCTAACGAATCTTTGAGGATTCCCAATACATTTTGTTCCTGGTAAATGTTCAAGTAGGCGGGAGCTTTTATGACCTATCAATCGTGTAAACGATTACAAGAACGGTGATAATGAATTTATGGTTAATATAGATGAGTGAAATAACAACAAGTATCATTAGAGGTAATATGTACACAGAACGTATTATTAGAAATTGAATGCACGAATTCCTACTTAATCAGTTAAATTCGTTTTCACAAATGATTTTTTTTCCTTTTTTCCCACAGAAACTTTTAGATCGAAAGTTGTCAAAAAACTCATCAGTTAGCAGTGAAAGTTGTATAACACCAGCAACTTCACCTAAACATCAAGGTATATATTTCCTGTTCATTTTTTATGAATAAATGTAATTTGTTTACTCACTTTATTGTGCAACATATATTCTCGAAGTAAATGATTAACATATCCACTAAAAAGAGAATTCTTCAGAAAAATGAAGCAATGCAATTATGCAATGTACTTATTTTCTACCATTAGTCTAACAACTTCCACTTGTATTCAAAGTATATTCACTAAAACAAACATATGCCTCAGCTGTTAAACTATCCGAAATCCAGTTTAGACAACTGGATTGTATCAACAGCCCACCAACTACTCGATTAATAAACTGTCCTTTCAATACCTTCACTATACTAATGTGAACCATGGCTATCTATCTATTGGGGAGAAGGCATTTATCTGTGTTACTTTGTTAGGATACAAGCAACATAAATATCCTTTTTAAGTTTCTTACAAAACGTATCAGTTAAAGTCTTTGATTGTAATGTAGTATTTAGTTTGAATAAACGATCAATTACTGATGAATGAAAAACATGTAGAAACAAGTTAGATTATCAAATGTTTATTGTATTCAAAGCGCCATTATCAAAATAATAATTGCACAAAATTTTGTTCTAATTTGAAACATTAGACTACTCATCCTGAAATGAGATGTGAAATTAATAAGACTGGGACAATGTATGATTCATCACTAATTATTTGATCTCCTCTTAAATAAACTCTGAAAGTCAATAAGAACACATATGCATATATGGATATATATTGTGAATGTACGGGATTAAAAGGTATCTCTATCAATTCTGTTGGTGATCGTGGTTGCATTCTACTGTAGAGTTCTAATCGATTGACAAAATAGTCGTCCAATACTCCCTATTTTTTCGGGTGATTTCAACTCGTAACTGAAACTTTATTCAAAATAAACAGTCAGGTAGTAGCAACTACAACAATCAACACGTTTCAAAACCTATGTTTTGATATTCCACCGGTTGTAGCTTCTCACTAGATCTCCAAAAGTTCTCGAAGTTAGTCATTATTAGTGAACATGTGATGATGATTATGGTGATGTGAATACTTCAACATATTTATCGGCAATATAATTGCAAACTTTCAAGTTTAAACATACTTTAAAATAGGATCGGATTAAAATTTGGTATATCTCTCAAACTATCCAACTAAAATTTATACGAATATTCGTCAAGATTAGAACGAATAGTTTATCAGTAATTGAACGCCGAGTATAGAGAAGTCATTATATGTGAAACTTATATTTAAAATATCCAACTAAAAGTTACATACATATATCATTTATTTCTAAAACGACCTAGTCTAGATATATGTAGATATACAATAATTTTTTATCTGTTTATTACGTAGAGAAGACAATTTGACATGGAACAACATTTCACTGAAGATGCTCTTGAAACAGCTTTCAGATGGATAAGTAACCTGCATTCGTATTATGCATTCAAATCATGATACCTTGAGACATTGTCATTCAACATCGCTGTGATATATATGCTCGTGTGATTATTATTATTATTATTATTATTATTATTATTATTATTATTATTATTATTAGAAAATTTCACCCATTAGTAACAGTCATTGTCAGCTTATTGGATAAAACAATCAACAATATTTTAATTTGTAATAAATATGAATATTTTTTTATATTTTTATGTATATCTTAGCACAATGCATATGAATTATTATTACTATTATGATTATTATCTCTCCGCCTTCATATGTTTGCTCATAATAATGCATTTTGGGGTCATAACAATAGTAGTGACAATAATACTTGACATGACCCTGACTTACGTCACGTCACAGCGTTTAATATATTAACCGAACAACAATTTGTGTTATTTCTTTTACTTCTCTGAAATTCTTCTTGTATAATATTCATTCATAGCTTTGCTTTGTGTCTTATTGATGAAAAAAATGTCATATCATTGTAAAATGAAACAATTTCACCCTTTTCTCCGTTGTACTCGATTAAGTTTGTATTAAATTTAGACAGTTATCTGTGATTCTTGTAATTTTTAAAATCGATTGACTAAAATCTTACATGAAAATCATTCGTCAACTACAATAAATCGTCAGTGATATTCTAATTATCAGTATGGGGTTGTGGAGATTGATAAGTTTTTGATTGAGATCATGAATTAATGAATGTTAGACCACCATTAAAAACCTGGAAGCACTGGACGGCCGTTTCGTCCTAGTATGGAACTTGAAATAAGAATGCACAATTAGTACTCTATATGTATAATATTTTGCACAAAATAGTATTAATTGGTATAAAGCGATTCATTATCAAATCGGTAATTAGTTTCTGTGCTATATTATCAAACATAGGCCATTATTTGTCTATTGTCAGTCTTTGAAATCAAAGGAATCCAGAAATCCTGATGATGCGTTCCACTAAAGTAGGTAAATAGTCTATCGCATTGCTATACAACCACAATCTTTCAGTTATATTCATCCCATTGAGCGCATTATCAGCAAGTAAAGAAATTTGTATTCTACGACAAAGCTTCAATACTGTTGCCCGAAGAGATATGACCGTGATACATTTCTGATTTTATATATTTATTTTGTCCGTGCCCTTGAAAACCAGAAAAGTTTTCCATGTTGAAAGGTTAAACAATCGATAAAGGAACAGCTAGAGCCATTGCGAGGGGTTGCGAATACGGATTTCTGGTTTATACCAGACTCGGCTCATAAACGTTTAGAGTTAATTTGTAAAATAGTAGAAAATAGAGATGCTAGGGGTCATCATAATTTCATATGATTAGTAGAAATTTTTCGATGCATATTTATCATTGATTATGTGAATATGTGAGACCAGTTTCCAGTTCAATTTGCAAATTTTTTCAACATATCACTTTCATTTATTCTACGTATTGTATTGTCAAAGGACCAATAATCAGATTGTACATAATGATACATTATTTAATAAATGAAAGAGAACGCTTTTTCGAGATTAGATAAACTTCGTGGCAATCAAAAATCGAAATATATTTCTGACAAAATTCTACAGTTTGCATCAGGAAATGACATCATCTGATGAACTATGTAAAACGAAGAAGTATTAGACAGACTACTGTATTTAATCGTAATTGTAAACTTTACATCAGTGCACAATCATAACCACACATGAAACCTAACTCAGGGTCGTCAGATCTCGTGATGATCATTGAGTTGCGACCCAATAATCCATTTTTTAAAATTTCATTATTCAGTGCCATTGTTATCACGTGTCTCAGTATGGTTGCACTCCAGCCGGTTGGAAATATAGTTATTGACACTCCTTAATTTGAAGGATTTATCTTTACAAATTGAAAATGGCAAAGCTTCAGTACCAGATATTTTAAAATAATGACAAAGAATTTCAAGGATTCTGTGTTCTTTCTTCAATTCGAAGAACATCTTCAAAATCAGTCGTTTGGCAATTTATTATCACGTGTATACTCTAGTATAGAATCGAGAATTTAAACAGAAAAACTATTTAGCATTTTTAAACATCTGAATAATTGAGAGTAGTGCAATTAAGGACATTTGCTTCGTATTGTATAGGACGCTCCAGGTGAATGCACTTGCACCCAATGTTGATGTCCACATTGAGACTCGAACTCAGTACCCTTAAACTCCCAACTCGCCATTTATTTAGCTAGTGAGTTCAGACAACCACTGGATTACACAACGGAGGTAAATTTTAATTCATTGTGTAGGGTTTTTTTTCCAATCTTCTGTTTTTGATGTTAGGAACTGATAGTGATCAATTGCTTCAATACTTCCTTCAAATTACAAGTATTTTTTAAGCAGAGTTAGATAATGCCTCGTAACTGAATGACAATATCAAGGTTGTTGGCATAGGATGCACATATGCAAAAAAATGAAATTTTTCAAACCCAGTCCTTAACATCAACAACAGTGAAATTCAAACAGCTCTTACAAATAAACTATCTGGCTGTTTGTCTTAACTATAAAATGACATTTTATTTATTTTAATTTTTGATGACGTTGAAATAATGTAATACAGGATAATGTTGTTTATGCCATATTAGGATGATATTTGAATATTGATATTGGTTTAACATGTTAACATTCTAGCAACAAGTTTAACTTCAATATTTACTGTGTTACTGAGAATAGCAACACATAATCAGCTGGGATATTTACTAACAATAGCAATAAGCACATAAATAGTGATACAACTGGGCACCAAGATAAATATTTCCTTTTGTAGATAAAAATGGCATTTCGAAGAGATAGATGAAGGAGAGGGGAGTATATTCAAAGTGAATAAATGTGTGAGGAAGTAAATGAGTGAGATTAATTTATAGTAGGAGCGACACTTCAATCGGAAAAACAACCAGTAAAGATTTCAATCAAATGAGTTGCTTCCACTTTTATGAAGGATGTATAAGTAAACTACGTCAACATTACCATTGCATTCTATTCAGAACCTTATCTGATAATATCTCAATCCACTAAGTTGCACCATCTCTAAGACCTCTTCCGGGCTCACAGGTACCAGTTCTGTACAAATTTCCTTCATGCCACGGCACCATGTCGTAAACTCCACTTTTTCCAACCACTCTCGGAGTCGGCAGGTAGAGTCTCCATGTTGAAATTCTCAGGACAGGTCCAAGTTACCGAAGGCGGTGTTTGAAGATGATTCACTAAACGAGCTACCATCACTGCTCACCAATACATAGTGCTGAACCTCCACATTATTGACATGACGTTTAGACTCGATATCAACACTCACTAAGCGACGGATAATTGAGCGCTGAGTTCACGAACATCCTTAACTCCGAGACCCTAGGTTTCACAGACAGACTGACATTACGACGTCATCAAAGATGGTGTAGACTGGGATAAGTCATTCTGGTTTTCACTACACGTAAATTGATATCATCACTCATGCCACCACTAGCACTTACATAGCTACACAGAAACACGAACTTCTCGACTACTGATGGTTCACCACAGAAAGTGTGTGCGAGTTGAGGCTCTTGGCGGTGTTTTAAAACCACTTAACACTTAAAAGATGCTAAGTACGTGCCATTACCTACGAACATCGATTCCCAACTGATTAAGTACGATTTACGTAGCTTGAGTTTCACAGTACAGTAAGACTGTCTTCAGAGTACTTAATATCGAAAAGTCTTTCTCTACGTGATGGATCCACACCACCATTCCATACTTCAATCAGAGCTATTTGTAAGATGTCGTCGATAACAAAGTCGGAAAGGAATGGTGAGATTGGGCGAACCTGCCTAACCATGAAGACTGATTATAACCCAATCGACGACATTCATTATTTGATAACATCTTAATATTTAAAAGTAATAAGAGTTAATACTACTGAAAAGCGTCTGTGTTATCTTCCTTAATCTGACCTGTCTATTCTGGTTAATGAAGGCTCTTAGAGATCTCAGTATTATCTATACTTACACGGTCCTTATATTTTTGGTTAGTAGCTAACAGTAAAATATAGGATGCTTATTCCGTCTAAATTAGAAATCAAACATCACTTGAATGTAACTGTATCGCAGCGTTGATATTCATATTTTGAACCAAACTCAATATCTTTTATTTTCAAATACTAACACATACTCAAGTAAACTAATGAATTACTAATTTGTCCAATGGATATGTTATACGTTGTTATTTGGTAACAGTTTTTTTCTTGAACTCTTCTGTTTGACATTTGGAAATCTCTATTAAATGATAGATTTTCATGAATTATATACAATTCCTAACAGTAACAATGACATTACATTAGAAAAATTATATATAAGAACCATTCAGCAAGACATTCGAAAATCTTTTTCACCATTATAAGACAAAGACTACAACCATCTACATTTATTTCAGAATAATATGTCTTAACGAAATGTCAAAAAAATAATCTCATCCATAATTTTTTTTTATTCTCTGAAGAAGTGACTTACACTAAGTCACGAAACATCAGAAAATCTAATTTTTCTCCTCATTGGGTTATTACAAATATACTATTTATTTATAACATAATTTAATCTGTTCATTTCTTCCTTTCATTTTGTCTCTTTCTTTATATCCGTTGTTTCCAATTAAATACTGATTTAATTCTTTTCACTTCAAATGTATTGAATGCACCAGGAATTGGAAATATTAAACAATTTTCAGTATTTTTATTTGTATTCTGAATTAATTCGACAATTGATTGTTTATTATCAGATTCATGTTTATCTTTTATGAAGAACTGATCACCATCATCATTATCATTTGATATTTTAGGCAACAATGAACAAACTGCTTGATCAGGCCAATTTGATTCAAGTAATTTGATTGATTTTTCTATATTAATCAGATTTTGATATTCAGGAATGTTTCGATCATACAATTCACCATATTGATGAATTGAAATATTTCGCTTAAAATGATGGGAAAAAGTATCTAAGATTTAGGAAAAGAATTACAAAGATGTGATCGAAAAAAAATCAACCATACTGTCAAATCATCCAAATGTTTGCTATTATAAAATGGAGAGTATTTCAGGGACTAAACTTTCAATGAAGTAAACATGATCAAGAACAATCGTGAAGGTGAACAAACAACATATGTACAACGGAATATAATATCAAAACGTTTCAGTTCATAACTACTCTACATCTATGATTAATGATTCTAAAGCCTGCAAAAACAATTTTAAGAAAAAAAAGTTCACTTCAATTCAAATAATATTACTCCACACTGTTATACGGTAGTTTCAGTTAATAATCAAGAAATTATAACTGCACAATGAATGTAATTTAGTACGACCAACGTCCAAGGTTGTCCATAGTATTGATTACTCAGACCTTCCTAGTAATGATATAAATATCATACCTGATTCACAAATGAGCAGCTATCTGTACTAACTAGCCAAGTGGTTAACACATTGGTTGTTGAAGTAAAAGGTAATGGATTTGAGTTTCTATGGAAATATTAGAACTGGGATTCAAGCGCGTCCTCCCGACCATTCCTCAATAAATCGTACTACAAACCACAATCTGTCTCTTTAATATAAATGATAGAAATTTAGTATTGAGAACTGACACTTTATTTTAAGATAGTAGTAAATGCAGTTACTTTGATAACTGTTTTACTTTGATTCACTTTCATTATCTATGTGCCTTTTGTTTTTAACTAGGTCTATACGAAGTCCTGAATTTTAATAATCAAGGATCGAGTCAAAAGATATCGGTAAATGATGGGCACTGCATCATGAATTCTTCGAAGCTTTAAGATGTTAATCATTATGATCATCAAAATCTGACTAATGATTGTAGACTTTCAGCAACTTCACAGTTGCTATAGAATAAGAATGAAATCGATCTATAGATCATTCAAATTTTCAGTCACAAAATAGATTAATTCAGTTCATTCCGACGAAACATCTATCACTGTTATTTACTAAGCAGACGTCTACCGTCTACCTAGTATTAAGATTACATTTCGGGTACACAAATAATCATCTAATACATACTTAGTTAAGATAGGATGACCATACCATAACCATTGAAAACCTGAAAGTACTGGACAGCTGTTTTGTCTTAGTAAGAACTTCCTAATAGTGAGTATCCACAACTCTGCCACCGTGGACCGAACGCAGGTCCTTCGAGTCCTTCGACAAGAGCTGAGTTAAAACCATAAGGTTTGCACTTCAAACATCAATTATTTCGCAATATTGTACAACTACCTTCCTATGCTATTGGTGGGTAACTACCTCACACCAGATATGGTTGAATTCCATTGGTCACAGGTTCTCATTGGAAAATTTCCTCCTGAAGTTAACAACTAGTGAGTGAGTGATTATTATTAAACCAGGGCGTTTGTGGAAGTTAAGCTCTCACTGCGAGATCTGAAAGTCCCGAGATTGCTCATCAGTCGGGTCGTCGTTATTTACCTTTGGGAAGTCCCATGACAGGATTTAACATCTTTCTATCGCACTGTGGTTTCCAATGGTTGTCTAACTACGATAAGTCTTTGATGCAAACTATGTAAGACAGAGTAATTTTTAGTAAATTGAATTATATAAAAATACCTAGCCAATATATCACTGTAGCAATAAATATGGAAGCATACCAAATCCTTGATTTGTTTATCAATACCTCCAGATTTTGAAACCATTTTTAAGAACAATCTTCGGTTGTCAGGCAAACAGATTGCATAATGGAATGCGGTACGTCCAAGACAATCTTGATAATTGACAAGTTCTTGACACAGTTCAATTAACTGAAGAACAAAATCTGTTCTACGATAAAGTACTGCAAGGTGTAGTAGAGAACGTTCTCTCCAGTCACGACCTAGAAGATAGATAAATAATATAATAATATATCGTATTAAATCTCTATATGTTTAGTTATTTAGACAATATAAACACATAAGATATTTAAAATGACTACCTTATATTAGGTGCACTGATGAAGCTTCAAATCAGGAGAAAGTTTGTTGATCACAGATTTTGAATTAAAAATCTTTATATCATTAGACTAGCTTTTCACCAAACTAACCACTAAACTTAACTTCTGGTCAAGTTCCAATAGTAGTTCATGTATTAAACGACAGTTTTTCAACCAGAGCTGTTCCAAGTAGTCTCATTAATATTCACAACAGAAACATATGTAGTTAACTTATGCTGAGTGCCTTGTAGACAGTTTTAGAACTTGAATTCTATCCAGAAATTCTGCAGGTAGATATTTGTACTAAGACTAAATACTCAGAATGAATGAGATAGCAGGCCGAACGAACTCTCTTTCAAAGTATCACACTTAACATAGTGCTGATGAGTTGTAAATTAGGACTAAATAGTACTGCACTGCCTTGCTAATGATTAACCAGCTGAAGTCTATTCGTGGTTAAAATTATATTTTGTTCAGGAATTAATGAGATTTAAGTAATGGCTATTGGATTCTTGCATGAAATTCAAAACGCGATGACGGATAACTTGGTGCGAGGAAAACCACTCTTTTCTAGTGTTCAATAACAGTGAGATATCTAGCATTTTAGATCATTTCCTCGTTCACTTAGTGGGTCACTACTGCATATCTAAGTGTAATTTTCATTGGCAACTTCATTGATATAATCTAAAATTATCTTCATTTTTCTTTTATCCACAAAATACTATTGAGGATCCCAATTTGGCCGATGAAAAAAGCAAACAAAATTAAAGTTGGGACCTGAAATGAAATAATCAGTGAAAATCATGCTCCTACATATAGCATGCACTCAAGAAATAAACAGAAAAACGGTAGATACTGCACACTTATTGAACATTCGAAAGTAGATACGCTACGAATTCACGGGCATGTATCCTGTTTTGTAGCTTGTATCGAATCAAAAACTAATAATTACCAATAGTTATCTAGTCATTAAATCCTAACCCTATGATCTTTCAGGTTTTAATATAGGAAATTATTCATTTATACCACATGTTTTCCAAATGGCTAAAAAATGGACTTTACTTTTCCTATGTTGATTTTAACATGATTGAAGTTCGTAAGTAAAGTATACTTTAATCCTATTTGTGACACGAATATCACTTTCAATATGGTGAGTTCTTTTTCACAAACAAAACCAACTGTTTATACAGTCATAATTGTTCTTTTTTTAATCTATAATATATATAATATCACATTTTGTGTGTTTTATGTTCATCAAACAAGTTTGGACAAGTAATGATCAGCGATTATTGAATGAACCATTAAAATATCATATCTATAACTCATATACTTTGTGATATGATAAATAGATATTAACTTACAATCCAAAAATTTATTGATTGCTTTAGATTACCAAGATATCGTTTTGTGACACAAACGTAAACACGAGCTAAATACATGTGTACTTTGTTTAGTAAAAGAAAAAACACACATCTGTATCCAATTTACATTCAAGATTATCAATAAAGTTAGATAGTGGCTATCAGTGGAATTCAAGTCACACGTTGTGTCCTGTTTTGGATTCATCAACTCAATGGACATGGATCCTAGTATTAATATTCTCACTGTGACTCTAACCCAGTAGGTAGATAAAGCCGATGAGCACTACATAGAGCCAAACAACAACAGCCAACTATAATCAAATTTTACTAAATCTTGTGACTAAATGTCAAGTCAATGAGCATAGAATGCACATATGCCACTAGATCATGATCAACAATAGTTCATAATATCAACAACGGGAAGATTTAAATACTTACAAATATTAAAAATGTTTTGCTACTAATCTATGAAGAACCAAGTTGGAGAAAGGAGATAGGGTTGTGATAAGGTGGTAAGTTTACTTAATACTAGAAGAAACTGGACAATTTTTTGAGCAATTGAATATTCAGAAACCGAAGTATAACTTTTCAGAATATATCTTTCATCTCACTATACATTAAAATGCATTTAACTGAAGTTTGGAAAATTTCTGTTGCAACTACACCTACATTGATTTTCTATGAGATAAGATAAACAATTGATTGTTTTTATCAAGTATCTCATTTGGTCACTGTTCATATATTATTCCAATACACGTGGCCACTTGCTTAAGCAAGACCGAACAAATATCTATATTAGAAAATGAGGTCAAAATTTTAGTAGAAGCATTGGTAACGTATGGATATCTATAAAAATTTATTAGCTGGTATGAAGGCGATGACATTCATATTAAATGGTTTTCATAGTAAAATAAACTTAAACTACATTCATCTTGGCCCACTGTTGAGCAAATGTCGAAAACTGATCATAGAATTTATCTAAAAACTGCCTTTATAGTAGTGTGTTGAACTAGTCAAGGTCTCGAATAATTATTGACTATAAATGTATCTATATTAGATCTGTCCTACGAATATTGAATTATACTTTATTATCTGGAACAGTATGGGATAATGTTGTTACTGAAATCATAAACTGGCCTAAGTCATACAGTTACTAAACGTTAGGGCACACCAGACAGCTTCGTCCTAGTATGAGACATCTCAGCAATGCTTATTCACAACCTCGCTTTTGGGGATCAAACCTAGGAACTTCAGGTTTTTTAGTGAGAGCTTAACGTTTGGAACAGTGAAATGGTATGCAAAGGTTTTCATTTCTAACTTTAATTAATCAGAGATATTCCACAACAATCTTCCATTACTTCACATCCGACATGGCTGAACTCCACTGGTCATGACTTCTCATTAGAACTCTCTAAATTATCTGATGACACCAGTCACTATTAAAGACAATAATTATCAGTATCGAGGTTCGTAAACTGTTGATACTGGATCATTGGTCTAAAGAGTAACCTCTCACAGTGAGACCTGAAGTTTCCGGCTTGAAACTACAAAAGGGTTGTGGATGCCCACTTATGAGAAATCTGAAACTAAGACGGAACATCAATCTAATGCTTCTTGGTTTTCAATAGTAGGCTAGCTCGGGACAGTTAATAATCTCAAGAACACTTATCGATCTCCAAAAGCCTTGATACTGATTATAATTCTCTCTATTTTCTTTATTTTTCATATAATTCACAATGACTTAATTGGATCTCCATTTTTACCTTTCATATGATTATATGGTATTTAAGGCATACTACCTAGAATGACAATGTATAGATAAATTTTTATATCCACAATTATCATTCGATCACCAAACATATACTACATTTGACTTATTGAGGTCTTTTTGCGAAAATTAAGTGAATTTGTTGGTGATATTCGTCGTGAAACGATCTCATTAGGAGTACCAATGAAAGTTATTGTCACCCTAAAGCATGAATTAATTGAAGTTGGGAATATGTATTACTGGTAGCTATATTAACACTTAACTGAATAGTTTACTGCTGTTAGCTCAAGTTGAAGAGCACGACTTTGGATGAAAAATCATTAAATGTGAAAAACCCACTTGCATATTTACTTATTATTTATTATTATTATTTATTATTATTATTATTAATGGCTTTATTCAATATTATATTTTGGTACAATATAGAATTAAGTTGCATTTATATTGTTTCTTGTATTCAGAGAAGGTTTTGGTTAGCTTTCTTAGTTGTCAGTGGAGTTTTTCCTGAACATTGTCGAGTATTGTGTAGTATAGAAACAGCCGGATAATACATGTATGTGGTTACTTAAATCTTACCAAGGGGTCGGAAGTTGATGTATAGTGATGAGTTCCATTCAATCGACTATTCAACGATGATCCGTAATGTCGTTATTTGGTCTGTGGATGATCGATTCCTTACGGAATCTGGTCTGCTGATCTCGAAGTTCGGTGTCTATTGAATCTTTCATCCGGTTCAACCATACTCTGTCGAAAACTGTTCCCGGTAACAACTAAAGTGTGATACATCTATAGTTCTCACATTTGCTCAGATTTCCTTTCTTTGGTATCTTGATGAGGTGTCCTTCTTCCCAGTCTGTCTGTGGCACTTGTTCTTCTTCCCAAATCTTTCTGAATAAAATGTGGAGCATGTTTTCAGTTATTTCTCTGTGTGGCTTCAGTGCTTAAGGTGGTATATTGTCAGGTTCTACTGTTTTCCCACTCTTGATTTATCTAATGGCCATCCTGATTTCGTTGATCGTTAGTGGAGTGACAGCTTTAGGAAGGTCTGTGTGCTGCCTTGATGTCCAATAAATTCAGTGGGCCTGGTCCACTCAAGGTTACCCCCCCCAGGGTATCGATTTAGATCCATTCCTTATGATTATGATTCTTATTGCCCAGCATCTCCTGGCACAATAAAGTTAGTACTTCTTTGATCCCTTTCCAGTCGTTCTTCATGGTGGTTTTGCCTTTTGTGGATAGATCTTGTAAGGCTTGGAACCTGTTGTTGATAGTTATCGTGAATTCGTTGAGTTTGTCAGTATCTCAAAGGAATGCTGTATTATACATTTGCAGCGCTGTTTCTCCAGTTGTCCAGTGTTTCTTTACCTTCAGTTTCATCTTGACCACAGCCCGGTGGTGATCTGAATCTGTGTTAGTTCCCCTTTCTGTTCACACGTTTTATATTGACCTTCTGAACTTCTGACTGATGCAAACATGGTCGGTCTGGTACACTGTAATGTGATCCGGTGAAATCCGTATGGTTTTGTGTATGTGATTGTGGAGGAATATTGGACCATTTGTAAGCATTTTGTTGAAGGCACGTAGATTGGCAAATCTCTGACCATTCTCGTTCCTTTCTCACATTATATGTCATCTCATATCACCTTCATACCCAGTGTTGTCAATCCCGACTTTGGCGTTTAGGTCTTCCATCAGGATGGTCAGGTCTTTTTGATTCAGTATGATGATCCTTAGTGTAAACTATTTGTTTTGGTATTACATCCACACAAAATAAGCTGTTATTGGTCAGTGAGTGAAGAGAGACAACTAGACATTTCACATAAAATCATTGATTAATACTGTAAACGAATTCTTCCAAATTCTTTTATAACACTTTTTTATTGGCATCTGGTTCTTAATAAAATAGTCAGACAAGTGTAGCTGTAGTCGTGTAAAGATTTAGTCAATACTCAAGATAGATCAATTGTATTGCCAATTCGATTAACATCACAGATTACAATTTCTACATGGAATCGTCTATTTTAAAATTAATATGAAGAACAATACTATACTTACCCATAATAACTCTTTTGTTATTAACCAGACGTAGGAATTGATGATAATCTCCAGTTATAATCGTCTTGTGAACTTCCATCATTTCTGTTCTATATTGATCAACAGTATCTAATAAAGATATCATTTCATGATGGCCTTTTTGTTCAGCTAATAATCTAGCAGATTTAAAGCGTACAGGTCCAGAATTAGCTAAATGTATATAATTATATCCATAGAGAATTAATTCTTCCATGGATTGTAAGTGATTGCCAGAAGCTAGAAAAGCTACATGGCGATCAATTAACTGTTCAGCAGTTAATAAATTTCCAGTTTCTGGATCGATAATATCATGAAGTTCGAAAGGATCTGGTGGCTGTAAATGTAATGGGAAAAAAGTAGAAGCATAAAACAAGTTTCTGAAGAAATAAGATATCAGTAATAAGAAGGCAAGTAGAAATCTATAAAATCTTATAATCTCCTATAGTCGTTGTTTAGGATTACAGTCCTAATCAGTATATATTAGCATAGATTGCTTACTGAACAGATTGTCTTGATAGTGTGATTTAGTCACATGTTTTAGTATAATTGGATTAATAATAATAATAATAATAATAATAATAATAATAATACCAAAAGTCGGTTTATCCAGTATAATGTACAATACCTTGACAAGTTCATCATACTATTCGTAGACGTCACAAGATATACATGGTTTTATAAGGGTAGGTTGACTTATAGAGATGGTAAGATCTTAAGTTTAAATCACTAACTTATTTAAGTTAAACCACCATCGATAATCAGCAAGCACTGGATGGTAATTATACTCAAGTATGGGATGTTTCAACAGTGATCACCCATAACCCCTCAACAGGAGATCAAACTCAAGACTTCTGTTCTCTCACTAGAATGCTTAACTTCTTGATCAATGAGCTGGAATCTAACGGTGTTAACATGCGTAACTTTCACCCATTACCTGGGGTGGATAACCACCTCACGCGAAACGGTTAAACTCTAGTGGCCGCTGCCTCTTCTAAGACTTCGGGAGTTGCGTCTTAAGGCCAGTAGGTCCGATTCCCGGACGCGTGGTCGCGGATCCGCACTTCTAAGGAGTTCCATACTGGGACGAAACAATTATCCAGTGCATCTAGGTTTTCAGTGGTAGAATATATATATAGTATGGAACGATAGATATAACTAATTTACCAATACGTGAATTGCTTCAAAAGATTTTTTGTTCAAAATTTGCGTACCTCTTCTTCGAATGGTCTGAAATTCTCTCCCGTTTCACAATGAACATTGTTGTTATCCAGTAATTCATATCTTGATCTATTCAAAATATCTCGTGCAGTACGTTGCCAAATATCTCTATGATAAATTTTCACACCTCGTTTCAATATTGTAGATAAAATTAAACTTGCCCATCGAAATCCATTTACATCTTTAGGATGTATTGTATGAAAAAGATTTGTTGCATAATGAAATAAAGATGATCCATTTGAATCTCTTAAATGAACTGGTACTTCTTTGATTACTTCATAAGTATGTTGAAGGCTGACAAGGTTCTTAAAACTCCAAAATGCAACCGGACCAAACGGTTCTTTTTCTGAATTAAAATCAGATTGATCAACAAATATTGTCTATAAAAAGTTAACTTTTATTTCTTGAAAAATGCATAAAAGCGTAACGACCATTTTAACATGCGAAAAAACATTTTAATGTTTAAGCAATACAAAGACGATTATGTCTATTTTGTAATATTCTCCGAGAAAATTAATTTACTGAAATTAAAGCATAAAACGTGAACTGTTGGATTCAGATAAGGAGATTAAAAGATACCATATTTACCGTGAATTACGAAAATCCTGTTCTCAATCTAACTATGAGTAAACACTGCTGTGGAGCTGCAAATTAAAATAAAGACAACTGTTCATTACTTCCTAATTGTTAGTCGTTCGTTTTTGGTTTGGACATTATTTCGTTGATTATACCACGTTTCAATCCCCTTTTTATGATGTCGGAATAATAGTTTAGTTTTTCGAGAAATCGATTTTCAACAATTACGTCTCAGGTTCTCATACAACGGAGAATTAAACACTTTATGTTTACTATGACATACTATCATTATTTGACTATGCGACTGTTGACCGAGATTATACTACCATTAGGCAGTGATACTAGTTACAATAGTATTTCCTTGATAAATGAATCTGAATAGATCTCTGTTATGACCTTGGATGTCTGACTCTTCGATCACACGACTTATCTACCAATCCGAATACGACTTATACGAATCTTTACACTAGGCCAACCAATGACGTCCAACCGGCGTGGGCAGTTTAGCGTCCTTATTGGTCCTATGTCCTACGAGCCCTTCCACTTGAGTCCAGAACAAGATACCAGCTTCCGAATCAGAGCAGATCGTTTATTTCAGGCATACTTGGTTTATATATCAATCACACAGACCGCAACGTACCATAAAATAGGAAATAACATGCATACACAAATAAGCCCAAAAAGTGGCTGTGAATGTGGGAGACAGTAGTTAATAAACTGAACATAACTTAAGAACCGTAAATCGTACAATAATAAGTTATAGGTCAAAATAAAGCTTATCATAAAAGGAATATAAATATACATAGTGTAATTGTTGAGTAGTTATGCAATAAGAATATTTATAGAATATTAGTCCATGAATAGTCCTTGGAATTTACCTGTAATTTAATCTTCACCGGATATAACAATCTCTCTCCGGAAAACATCAATCCAGAAATTTTGATTTTACGACCCTTATGAATTACTATAATAAATCACTTATAAATTAAACAAATTACGACGAAACCTTTCCACCAAAGAGTAATTTCGTATCTACTGTTGACGTACTTCGGAACGAATTTTCAAGGCTCTGGTGGAAATTTGTGACTAAAGTTCAAACATGTTAAGAATCACCACCGACCATAACAGAAGGTTGTCTTATGCTGTAAATTAACTGGATTTTAAACTGTAGACAATCGGACACCAATTTAATAGTATAAAAGTTGATAACTCATAGTGAGACCTGTAGGCTTTTGATTTACTCCTTAGACGGATCAACAAAGCGCACCGTTAAATATTCGGTTTTAAGGGAAGGGACATATACAGTGCTTGGTAACCAGAATGTTTTGAATCCATGACAAAAACCACCTACACAATATTGTTACAACAAATCAGGTTTAATGAAATGTGATGGATACAGACGAATGAAGCTGTTGATCGTAACTGTAGTCAAAAGACAATTTTCTTTAGGGAAACATTTTATTATTAGACTATCTATTTCACCTTGAACAAAGAACAGTCTTCATAATCAGTTTGTGAATTTTCAGCATCAACACAATTAATTTTCGTCGTGTTGTCAATCCACTTACACCTTATTCCAATTCATATTGAATAAAATCTTATAGAAACAAATAATTAGAATTTTTAAATTGAATATTATTAACCTAACTTACAATTATATGGACATAATGACTAACGTTGGGAAACTTTACGTATAGTCAAAACGGAGTTGATAATTACCAAACTAATTTATAATCTGATTTTGTTTAGCTGAATGGTTCAGTTTGAAAACAGTACTCATCATGAACTGACATCTTTAAGACAACCAATGAAAACCAAGAAGTACTGAACGGCTACTTCTGATTACTAATGATCAACTTCAAATTTCACTCCCATGCGTACAGTAAGAAGTCATAAGTGATGCAATTCAATTATACTGATATTATGACAGTTATCACATGTAGCGTTATTAGATGACTTTTTACCCTAAATTTGGAATTACGAACAGTTTAAGTTTGACTCAATGGCATTAACGATTTTCTTCCTTACCCCTTGATTAGTACGTTAACCTCATTTGTTATTTATTGTCGAATCCATTTTTGTGAGACAATCCATTCTATCCTTCTATAGACATACATTTTCCATATAACTATATATACGAATGTACAGCTTAAGTAAATGATTTCGTCGAAAAGAAAATTTTCTTCGCTGAATTCTCTTTTTCTTATTCAATAGCATCTACCTATTGTAATAACTAATTGACTATACAATCCCAAGTTTAAAACTATGTCGTGTAGAGGATTATGGACGGATCATGACTTCCAAATTAATACGAAACTATGTACAAGCTTTTTTCTATAAAATAAACTTACAAATTAATTCATAATTTATCATAAACTAACCTGAATAGTATTCGTTTAAATTTGCTCCAGAATGAATCATAAGTTGTAATACTTCTGCCGTAGAATATTCCATTACACTAACAAGTAATGGACGTGTTATAAAATTTGCTCTTCCATTATTATTAATACCAACTAGAAACTTTTGCATATGAAGTTGAGCTTTCAATTGACCTTTACCCATAGCTTTACGTCGGAAAATAAATAAGATAAAAATGAGATCAAGTCTACAAGTATAAATTATTTTTATTTTATATATTTGCAAAATTATTTGATTTATTTCAGGTAAAATAAACAAGGTAACTCCCCATACCAATAACTTATAACCGTCAATTGACAGTTATTCTGCTAGATAACTATGATTCACGGTTCGTTGAGTAATATTAGCAAATAACGAAAACTGTCCTCGAAATGAAGAAATCTCTATAAACAGTCATTCAAACATTCCTGTTGTGTTCTACAATCTGATTTAGTCACAATATACGCTTGCTTAACCAACTATGTAAACCTTGAACAAATGAATAATCCTATCACTTTCGGTAACCTCTCACATTTCACGCTTACTAAGCACTCCTGAAACAGCATGTCATCTTCCCGATTTTCTAACAGGCGATCTATTAGAACTCATACGGGGTATCATATATTATCCTTTGCTAATAATTACTGTCAAGCTTTGAAATGGATTTTTCAAATTTCAAGAAAGGACCGCGTTGAAAGTATCTGAAAATGAGTTATAAGAATCTTCACACAATCGATTGACAGCTTGTTCCAATAACCTGAAATTTGATTGGCTTTGGTACAAAATTGATCACTCTTTTTTTCCCTGATACTTCAAACCAAGCCTATAACCAATCAAATTGCAAAACAACGGGACAAGCTGTTATTCGCTTGTGAAGGAATTCTAAGGGTACATTTCTTTTCGAAATATGTGCTGATGTTATTGTTCAGATCGGTAATGAAAGCTTCAAAGAATACAATACTTCCAAAATGTATGTGTAAACCTTAAATGAATGAATATGAAATATACCTACCTAAACATTGTTTCAATTTCTGAATATCACCAGCCATAGAATAAATCACAAAATCAGTTAAACTAACATAATACTGTAATAGATTTGTTAATTTTTCACGTATTCCTTCTATCCATTGACTGCATCGATCATGAGTCCATAATGAGTTAATCCATTCTATAACAGTTAGCCCTGATCGTTTAGCTTTTAACCAAATTAAATTATCTTTAATTGTATTCTCTAATTCTGTACAGAAATAGTCAATAATATCATTGGATTTATGATATTGTACACTATAGATTAATCTATCAACAATTGGCCAAATTCCCGGATGATCTATCAATCCTTTAGAACGTTTTATACTAGTTTTTAATAAACTTGATTGAATATTTCGTTTAATTGTATATGCACCTTTGGGAATATAATTTTCATTATATACAGAATAACCATTTTTACATGGAATGGAGCAATCTGAACCTGGTATAATGTTTTTAAAGAAAATGATGGAAATAAAATTACTATTATTATCATCATTATCATTACGAGGATTAAAGATTCTATAGCGATTATCCAATTCGAAGATAATTCACATAAATGAATAATTTTAAACAGAATATTTTATGAGAATCAGGAAGCACCTGAAGCATCCATTTTGACCTTGTACGGGACTAATCAGGAGTAACTATCCACGACCACCCTAGGTGTGGATAGTTTCTCAAATTTCCCTGATATTTAAGTATATTATATAGTGTACGAAACTATTTCTTGTAAGACAGCTTTAAATATATTTTATAAATCAAAAAGCAGCATATTATAGAGAATTACCGAAATAAGTTTCATGGTCTCATACCTTACTATTAAGATTTACTTATTCTTAACTAAAGGATCATAGGTACATACATGTATATCAACTCTGTTCTTATCTACACCACTTTAAGAATTTATCAAATAACAATCTGTTATTTCCATCTTTCAACAGATTTGATCGTGCTAATAATTCTTGTCTTCTTCAAATATATGTTATTACTCATGCTTAACTTCATTGTTAAGTTTAACGTTAAAATAGCTGAACATTTACTTATATTCAAGTATGTTTAGCTTCAAATATCATATGAGTTTATCTGTGGTAATATGGATATTTACGTTTAGACGATGCCCGATGAACTATAGGTGCAAAGTTTGAAGCTATAGGAAACTATAGTGGAGGATTTTCACGGTCTTATTATGTAACGTGAATAAATGGATGAAAACTTGGTTAAACTATCTAGTAACAGCTGGTTCACTTTTCAGCCTTCTTAAAGATAATTAGTATTAAAAAAATATAAAAAATTTGTTCTGTAGAAATTATTGAGTGATAACATTGAAATTAAAGTATTCTCAATATGTACTCAAACATTCAATAAATGATAAATCTAACTTGTTTAAATGGAGTTTTGCATTAAATATTTATTCTAGAGTGGACGTTTCAATAATTAGAATTAACACTGGATATGAACCAAATATTTGTTTAAGGTATCTAATGACAATGTTCATGCAGTATTACAGATGTCAGTTAACCATGTAACTGAATCAACCCAATTTACGCACTGAAAGTATATACATATGAACGTTAAATCTATTATATCATTTCACAGATCAATACTTGATGGCAATGGCCATTTATTGGACAAGTTTCAAAACTAATGTGTTTTATATATTGAATTGGTTCTTATTTTCTGTTCAGTACTACAAACTAACATTAAACTACTGCATCCGTCTGAATCCACTCTAACTACTTACTTCGAATTACGGTATTTTTGCTCTAACCATTATACAATTAATCATTCATATGAATAAGAAATGCACTAATGAAGTAATAATTTTGGTGGATATATTAGATTGCTTCAAAACACTAGTTGAATGAACTCATTGATTGAACGGCGCAAAAATAATGATGGTTAAACTGATAGCCAAATGGGCTCAAAACTAGCAGAAATCTGTATGCCAAACATAAAACAAACAGTTATGAGCGCGGTAGTCAGTCACATAACGTTGCATTCCAAATATGTTTATGATATGTTCATTAAAATCATGAGCCAATCTAAGTTAGACCACCGTTGAAAGCCTAGAAGAATTCAACAGCCATTTTGTCCTAGTATTGGAATCCTTCGGAGTTTTAATAAGAAGCAGTGACCGGCAGAGCTAATCTGTGTCGGATGCAAGGCAGTCGCCCACTGAAGACAATGATGGATAGTCTCTCACTGTCGTGGATTGACTGAAGTTAGACATCAACACAGTCGGATGCCGGCTCAGCGGTTCAGAGGCTAGACGTTTGTTCATGAGGCCGAATTTCGTGGGTTCGATTCCCACTTGCGGGATTTCAGATATGCACCGCTGAGGAGTCCCATATTAGGACGAAACTGCCGTTCAGTGCTTTCAAGTTACCAATAGAGGTCCAACTAAGATCGATTCACGATTCAAATAAAATTCAACAATCTCCACAACCGTGTACTGTAAATTATATATTCGTTGTTTATAGTGATTATAAATATCCTTCCCATGTATTGAAACTCCTCAGTATCAGATATACAACTAAATACAAAGATGACAACATATTCTTCTCCCTAGATCTTAGTACGTGACACAATACAATTGGAAATATATATTTATCTAGAGCACACAGAGTGAGCAGTACGTGAATCTCAATAGCCTTCAGTAAACTACAATATATCTCTAGTTGAAAAGCTATTCAACTACTTACCACTACAATTGCTGTTCTTGCTTTATTTAAATTTATGAATATAATTTGTCTGTTAAGTACTTATTCTCATAGTTTTTAAAGTTCCAAAGTTCGAAAACAGTGTTTAAGCCCTTTTTAGACATTTTTCGGAAACGATAAAGTATAAATTGTAATTTTTCTTAACTTGAATGGCTCATCATCACGAAAACGTCACATTTTTGTCTTGAAAGCAAACTGTGTAAAATCACGTATACTGAAAAAAGTATCCAATCAAGCCTTTCCAGTATTATTCAAAGAAGTACTTCTAGGAATTGAAGAAGTAAACAGATTATACCTATTTGACGTAGATAACTTTATATACATTGCGTCTATCAGTCAACAATAATTCCACAAGAGCTAGCAAACATTCGTTTTCAGGATAATTTTGATCTAGTTCATGGAACGCACTCACAGATTTTTAGAATATTTAGAAACTCTCTTTTTAAACATACGTTCTGAAATAATACAATAAAATGTGACTTATGAACCGGCGTTATTCATCTATTACCATGAGAACGCTTCTTTTGAATTACTCCATTATCATGTGGTTTAAACCTTTAGAACAAAATGGTTAGTCAATAATCTCTGAAAGATAATTCATTTTTAATTTATTTTGTGCTATTAAGTAATAACGTACTCTGCACTGAAATACTAATGATTCAAATAACCTATGTGAATCATTTCTTGATGTCCTACAGTTAGCAATAATGTTGCTTGATATGACCGACCGAGTTCATTTCGTTCCATATTTTATGTCCAGTATTTCAACAAAATATAAACATTTTAAACTAATAAAAATAAGACATTTTAATTTACCTAACTGAATTAAAATAGAAATCAAACGTTGATCACTAAAATCCGGTACATTCATCATACATGGATGAATTGATTCGTTTTTTACTGACATATTTGAATGATCTGAAACAGATATAGACAATGATGTCTTTTTACTTGGACTCATTTCATTACGGTCTTCATCCATGATCAAATGTTTTACATCATCATTGATAGTTGGATTATGTAATGATTCATTTATATTGACAGTTTCAATAGTTTCCTCAACAATTTTCCCAACTGTGTCCAACACCACCCCATCTTCAACTTCATCTTCTCTTTCAGTTTCTTTGTCAATCTGATTAAGCATTGATTCGTTAGCTTTTATTGAGTTAGTATTTATATCTGCAAAAGTATTCGATTTTGCAGCACAAAGTAAAGCTGTATTACCAAATTTATCACGTGCTTGTAGATCGACATCAGCTATGACTAGTTTTGCCATAAGACGAATTAAACCACATTGTAAATGAGGTTGATGTTTTAAACTTTTATAACTGGAGAAAATAATTTGCAAAAATAAGACAAGATGAATAGAAATATATTAATCTAATGGGTTCGTAGAGGTTGTGTAATTTCATAGGTTACATTAGAATGACTTAAGTTAGATAATCATTGTTATTCGGGAAGTACTGGACATATATTTGATCCTAGCATGGGACAATTCATTCACAACTCGATCAGATATTGAATCTTGTACCTCCAGATTTTGCGACGTCAGCTCAACATTTAGACAAATTAGCTGGCATCTGCTAGTTTTTATTTCTAACTTCAGTCAACTCTTAATATTGTAAAACTATAATCTGTTATCATTTGTGATGTTTACGTCAAGCATGATATGGTTGTAATCTACTACTTACGAACCTCAAGGATCACCTCTCGAAGTTAATTATTAATCAGAAAATGATTATAATGACTAAAGATAGAAATGTGAACTACTGTATACTAACTCAATGGACCAAGGGTTAAATGCTCTTCCTAATACGTGAAGCTCCTGGATTCAATTCTTAGTTGGAGTCGTGGATGAATATTGCGGAAGTGCCCAATATCAGGACAAGGTAGAAGTCCAATACTTACTGGTTCTCATTGGGTGTCTGACAAAGGTCAGTCCGTAATGTAAACTACGAAATATAGTTCCATTGGATTTCGAAAGGAGAGTTATAACGTTCACTAGTTATTTGTGGATAGTTTACATTAATAAATAACTTTAGTCAAAAGAACCACTGCAAAACTAGAAATATTGAGCAATGGTTGGTTTATACTGACAGTGACACAAGTATCACCGGTAACAAACGATGATGATCGCGAATTGTTGACAGTTAATTGAAGTTAATGAATTACAACTGACTGTAATCAAAACTCTACTGAGGATATTTATACATAAACTACCTTATTATATCTGACATTTGCAGACACATAAAAATAAAAAAGAACAATCGCATAAGTAAATTATGGTTTCATCATTTTAAGTACGCATAAAGTCAATTTTTAAGAGTTTACGAGACCTACCGTTCAACTAAGTAGTGTAAATAAGTTGCTTGATCTGTATGCCTTCTTAGATTTGACTGGAATGATGAATACTCAATTAATTTCCATGCTTTGTTTAAATCAGCAATTGTTTTCGCGGTCTTAACTTGTAAATAAAATGGCGAATTTACGAAAGCCATTTTCCTTTGTTCTACTGACTCTAATGTAAATAAAACACTTATTACACTCATTAATTTATCATTATTGATTGAACTTTTAATTAATGGAACAGTTCTCATTGCTATAGGATAGATCGAACGTAGCAAGCAAAGAAATCTAGGATGTTCTTTCAGAACACATCTGGATGTACCTTCCTTCCAGAGTTGATGTTCACTCTACCAACATCAACTCTGGGAGGCTGGTACATCCAGCTGATGAGTTTCAAACAGGGCTAAAAGCGCTTCCCTGATTCCACCGCTAGCCACATACCATGTATTATATTTCAAGGTGTGTCATCATGGCTATATCAAGACAATCTGCATAGGATATCCATATCCCAACCAAGAATGATCAAATTTCAGTCAAAAATAGCAACAACTGAATAATTCAAATCATTTAAATTGAATCAGTTCTGATTGTTTTGTAATGAATAAAATAAAAACATTGATCAAAAAGATTGTTATATAATTCAGAAAGTAGAGTGAATAAAACCAATTATTCTCCAACAGAATTACATTCTAATCCCCTAGTAAAGTTCCTTTCACCAATAGCAAAGACAGAAGAAAAATGTGAAGCTTTTTCTACCTCAAACGGACAATGATAAAGTATGAAATATTTGGGTAATTATGAAAAACATTCAAGGTATTCTAGAGATTTACCCATTAAAGAAGTGAGTTTCAGGAGGAGTTCAGGTTCACATGTATGCGCAAAAATTAACACTTTCAAAACAGTGATCTAAAATTTCGTTGTTAGATATTTTCCAAAATGAAGTCCTTTCTTTCACACTGATAACATTCTCAGTTCGTAAAATCACGTTTAACTGGTAAATTTACATGACTTGGAGAATATATGCAACTTAGGGTGACCATAACTCTAATCATATGTTTTTTAGTGACTAATTTCCGGAGTTATTCCTCAAGAATTCAGACGGAAGCCTTGAATAATGGTGTTTGTCAATTCCAAGATGAAAGGAAATCAATCACTCTTCTATAACATTGTACTGGAACCGAATCCTAGGTTAGAATGATACAAATTTTCCAGTTCACTTCAGCTTTCATTTATTCCTATTTATCATGTTTCAATTCAGTCAAACCTCTGTACTATTTTATAATATTTAGTAAATCATTAGGTTCCAGATTCAGACTATTTTTGATCTACATCGACATGGGTAACTTTAGTTTCACTTAGTTGCCATACACATGAAAACCGTGTGGTCCCTAAATCCTAGTGTACAAACTTGTACCTTGTCACTGTATTTCAAAATCGACTCATAAGCTAACTTCTGCTTACCATAATAGTTTGATTCATCCACTGCCCCATATTTTTTAAGTAATTCGATTGCTTTATTTGCTTTATTCCCATAAATGATCGCCAATTCAGCAGTCAATGGACGTGGGGGGTCGAAACTTCTGTCACATTTATTGACTTGACATTTTTCTTTTTCTGAAATAAAAATATTCCATAATTCCTAAACTCTTGATAAATTTTAATAGTTTAAATCACGAACTAATCTAAACTAGAGCTTTATTGAAAACCTAGAAGCACGGGACAACCATTTCATCTTAGTATGAGACCATTAGACAGTACCCATCCACAGCCCCATATCCGATTATCGAATACAAGGCCTCTAGTCTCGCTTGTGAACGCTTGACCTCTGAACCACTGAACTGGTATCTAATGGTATTAACATTTAACTTCAATCAGTTCGCGATGTTACCCAATCCTCGTTCATTGACTGAATAACTGTTTCAAATCTCACATGGCTTAAGTTCGTTGGTCACGTCACGGCTGCTTTAGTACTCCAGCCATCTCCGTAACGGTTTAGGATTGAGGTAGGAATTTCGTGATTTTCTCACTTTCAAACGGCCGCACTCATGACACCTTTATCTTGTCCCCGGGAAGCAACATCAAATGTAGAACAAGCCACAAAGCAGGAGGAATATTTACCTACAGATATTGTAGAGTATTTATGAAATATGTGCACGTAGTCTCCAGTCATCCATCTGGATCCTTTTGTGTGTTTTGCAATCCAAGTTGATTCTAGACTGTTTTCTCTAGCTTCTCTTCTGGTGCCAAAAGTATTCCGCATAAATCGTGCTTTTTGACCTCCTGGAACACTTCGACTGTAGCAAATTACGTGCGACGTACCACCACGTACTAATTATAAGCAATCTTATGAGCACCATTAACAACAGAATAATTAAAGTAACCTCTATGAATTAAGACTTAAAATAACTCCAATTAAATCAATTAAAACAAAAGAAAATATCAGAAGATGGAACTTAAGATTATGCTCACAAACGTTTGTAAAATTAGTGTAAACTGACTGATTTCATTGAATGTAGTCATGGAATCATAAATAAATTTATCGAACAGATAAAATCTACAGTAACTTACCAATTTTAATTGATAAAAGATCTTCCATATAATTTAAATCTAATGCCATTGCAGCTGCAATTAATTCATTGGTATTACGTGCTTGGTCTACATGTTTAACTAATTCATAATTTCCAGTGGACATTGAACACTCGAATAAACTTTTCCCGTTTGGTTGATTTGCTATTGTTCGACACCAACATGATAAATAATAATCCATTTTAATCATATCTTCTCGTTTTACTGAATAAGAAAGAACAAATAAGTGGATACACATACGACTGCAAAATATTCAAGAAGTGTATTCCTTCCCAATTCATGAATCGTCAGCTAGATGTGGTTGAACAGCAAGGCTGGAAAGTAGAGTTATTCAGAAGATATCTTAATAATTAGAATCCTCAATATTAAGAAGTTGAAAGTCTTTAGTAGTAAGTATTGCCTTGCTTGCAATTTGATGCTAGTTAGCACTTGTCAGTAATCGTAAAAGAATTGGGGCTTCCTGGACCATAAATTGTCATAATTTTAATCCATAAAGCCATCAAATAATTCATTAATAACAAAAATGACAGTTTGATACTCAGTTTTTGAAACTTTAATTGTATATTTGTATATCTGTTACGCGGCCAGTATCAAAAATCGCAAATATTTACTGATACCTTATATCCATTAAACAATGTGGTGACTATCTGGATTCAGTAGCCCAGTAGATAATATGTTCAGAGCTTGAAGTACAAGGCACTGAGTTTGATTCTCAGTGTAAACATCAGCACTTAAATCCAGATAGATCAGGATGTTGACTCTTGTATATAACTAAAGATGCGTCATGCATTTCATTGTTAACTGCACACCAAATATGCTAAAAGTTTTGACTAGAAGCTACATCGAGACAATCTACTTATGACGTGTATTTCTAATGATAGAGACTGATCAATTATAGCCCTGAGTATCAACAACTGAAAATTACAAACCCTTGACAATAGTTACGTGTAAACTTAAATAATTTAGTGACTGAAAAAGAAACAACTTACTTGCATTCCATATACCACAGTTAAGACCAGGTAAATTTTTTACCAACCATGCTCTTTGTTCTCCATAATGATAAAAGACATGTAGTCCAGAATTGTTTTTAATCTCTGGATCAGCACCTATACAACAAAAGAAACAAACAAAGGTTATGGTTGATTTACCAACAATTACTGTCACATATTGTACATACAAATCTATAATAGCTTTTGTAGATCAAAGAACGATAAAAAACTGAAACATATTACGTGTTGTAAGGGTTTCAATTATCCTATTGTTGATATTAATGAACACGGTTGATCAGTCGCTTACTGGTAAAAGTGAATGCTCAGCTGATTGTCCCGACAAAAGTAAGATTGGAACAATTACAATTGAAACAAAATTCATTCCTCAATTGGTTGATCACCACCCAGTGATCAATCAAATGTGATTATGTCTCAGTCCTACAGGAGGTCAGTCGCTGCCCGGATAGCTCAGTGGTAACGTCTTTGATCGTGAAGCTGGGTGACACGGGATCGGATCCGCCAGGGAGCACCAGTTCCCTCAAGATTACAGGTACACCATGCTGACGAGTGCCAAGTAGCACGAAACCAGGGTCCAGGGTTTCCTGTCGACTACTTCCAACAACTATCTGATCTCAAAATTCATTACTGTTGAACAAACCAATGGCAATTTAAACACAGTAGCTCAGATATAACTACTGATAGGGTATTAAAAATAAAGATACTGGGTTCCAGTCTTAGTTTGAATTTACTGCTAAACACTATCAAATTTGGCTTTAAAACGAAAAATAGAAGTCCATATCAAACAGAATAATGACTCCACCTGTAGCTCTTCTAGAATTACTACCGGTTCCATGACCGAGTAAAGGAGGTTAGTTGGGCATGTGGTCAGCAGCTCCATCCCATATATATAATCTCGTATCAGCAGTTATTTACATATTTCAGTAGATAATAATGATAGTATATTCTGAAAATAATAATTACAGAATTTATGCCAGTTTACAGGCATGATCAACTTGATATAGAGAATAGATATGTTATAATAGATTGTTTCAAGTTCTTTAGTTTAAAAGTTGTTTAGTTCGTACATTTTTCACATGTATTACAGAATTTTTATATCGATAATTCAAGTCTTGACTAACTCAATACCATAAACGAAGTATTAGCTGAACTACCTTCACAAGTAAGTTGTTCTTTTATTTTCGGTTTTTTTTTGTATTTATGTGTATGATTTATTTTCAAATAAGAGAAGAGATTATATTTATTTGTGAGGGTCTTTATATTCAAAACTCCACTTGATCAGTCTCGATTGACATGTGAGTACCTACAGCGGAACATCTTTATATAGAGTTATGTCACATCTTGTACTATATTTGGTTTACGGTTGACAGTGGAATCGAAGACGCGAGTTTTATCCTATTTGTGACTCTTCAATTGGATATCTCTGGATCCTAATGCTGATATTCACAATGAAACTTGAACCTTTAGCTTCAAACACCAATGAATTACCAAGTGAGTAATTGAGTTTAAGCACTTTCAAAGACGAACTGACATTTAGACATCCATTAAAAATCGATCAGCACTGAAGTCATCTTATTCCAATTAAAAGAGTCTCGGTAAACAGAAGCCAGAACACCGTATGAGATTGAATCCAATACCTTAAGATTTCACCACGAATAATCTTAAAACTAGAATAAAACAAAAGATCACTACTTCCCTGATATTTAATATTTGTTCAGCTTAATGACAGTTAATGATGAACATTACCTTCGAAAATTTGTCACCATATTTACTGAAAACTTAATTAAGAGAGTTCAGCCAGTAGTCAGAATTATACCACGTAATATTACTTACTACTCTATAACTACTGATCAGTGTAAAAGCAATCTTCGCCCCCTCTGTTTTTTTTCTTTGATTGCATCCAATGAAATTAACACTTCGATTACATAAACGTTAAATGTTGACCAAAAGTAATCAAATTCGGTATGCTAACTAGAAGTATCCAGAACTGCTCAATTCATACTCAAGTAGTCACGTTTGGACCAGTATTCAACGCAGAGAAAACTCTATGGACTCAATCGAACGTATTGTATTTGGAATTCGAATTAGGGACAGAATCATTTATAAGGGTATTATCAATTAGAAGAAACACCGTAAAAATACATTTAACTATCAGAAGGGATTTTTGTGAATATTATGGTAATTTCAATAGTTGAGATCATGAGTCAATTGAAGCTAGACCACAATGGGAAGCCTGGAAGCACTGGACGGCCGTTTCGTCCTATTGTGGGATACCTCAGCAGTGCGCACCCACGATCCCGACTCGCGAGATCCGAACCCGGGACCTACTCACACAAAAGGTATATTTACTTCCCTCAGAAATTTAAATCAAATTTGCAACTAAAAGCGTATGCCCATTTACTGAGACATTCAGAGCGAATCTTGACAAAAATGACTGCTACGCTAGTATCTCTCACTTATCACTTAGCTTATGGTTGATTGGCCTAACGTATCAGGTACAGCAAATTAATCTCAGGAACAGTTGTGTACCGTCATAACTTAACAATATTCTCCAGAACATGTATTCCATTTATAATTATTTAAAATGTTATGACTTATGCCCCTATCAATTATCACGTGACAAAATCGTTAATCAAAACAACGACTTGTATGAACCTGCTCCTGTACTAAACCAATGACACGTCAATTAGAACTATCAGTCTTGAGTCAACTTTGAATCCCTATTGGTCCTCGATATAGTGACTTTTCGCTTAGCCTTACACGTTGGGTCAAGAACACTATTTCAGTTTCCCCTACATAAATATTATATTTTAGACATACATGACTTATATAAAAGCAGAACAGACCACATCATAACACGAAATGAAGGATAATAATTGCACAATGTCAAGCCAAGAGCGTCTGTGATTCTGGGATATGCGCGTTTTTCCTGGATTGTACAGCTAACCATTATCCATCTTTGCTTATAATTCACATAATGTTATATGCAACCACTTCATTAAATTAAAATAAAACCAATATTGCTTAAAAAGAGATTACAAATATCACCTAGTTAGAATTACACTTACCTAAACGAATTAAATGTATTGCCAAGAATTCTGTATACGGTAAAAGACATATTAAATGTAACACTGTATTTCCCATATTATTTTGTGCATTAACTGAGCAACGACCACATACAACAAGACGATATACCAATCCAACAATAGGTGAAGCCCATTCTGGATATAATTGATTTCCATTTATCATATTACAATCATCAAATTGTTTAGCAAACCTAGGTATCGATAAAATTAAATAATGTAGCAATGTATTCCCAGTTTCTTCATCTCTCATATTTCCATGCTCTGGAGTGATTAGTTCATGAGCTAACCATAATTCCTTGATAGAATTATAACTATTAAATATAGTATATAGTTGGAGCGATTTTAAATTATTCTGCATATTCTCTGTGGTAGATGGCAATTTCAATGATTTACAGGTAAGCGAACGATTCACAGTTGTTGTTAACATTTCACTGAATAAAATTCTATTGGAATCCACCGTCATTGTCAGATAATAAATTTCTCTTTACTGGTAATATATATATATATATATATATAACACATTTAGTTCAGTATAAGTGCTCTAACGGTTGCCTAGTGATGAATATATGTTTACAACCAAGCACCATCAGCTAACTGATCAGCTGACTTAGGACTTGGAATTATTAGGTCACTTATTTAATAAACATAATGAACTGTTTAAATATATTAGAAAAAGTATCGAAGTTCCACTATTAGGAATAAATATTTCTTATCTGTTCACTATTGAGTGATGAACTCATGATGTTGATCTATTAAGTGAGACAAGTATATTTCACAAATCTATTCATCTCTTTTGAGAAAGCAGTTCTATATTAACAAAGAAAGAACGAAAATTTTTGAATAGACTATTTTAACAGACTATTGTACTTCGTAGTACTCTTTTGGATATAAGTAAATTTAGAAATTACATAATGAATTATCCATCCATCTTTGTATTCAGGTGTTTATCAAAGAGATGAATGATCCTACCAGACTTATTCATACCGGATAAGATAGTACGTTTCACAGATATATAAAGGTGATCGAATGAAGTCATTCTACCATAGAGCTAGAAAACTATGCTTGTTTAAATTTTTGAAAAGAAATCATTAGTTTAAAATCAGTCTATAACGTTACCTTCAAAGGGTTTGGCAATTGGAATATTGAAAGATCCAATTGATGTACTACTCAACAGAATTCATGAAAATTAATCTAATTATGATACAATATCATGGTTTTTAATTACTCATCTTATCAGCCAGTAATCAGCATGAGTATATTTGATATGTGGTCGGCAGTGAGATTTAAGACTCAGGTTTTATCCTGTTTTGAAATCATCAGCCGCATATACCTACTTACCATTATTAATGTTTACATTGGAACTTCAACCTAGTTTGAAAAGCATAATGTCTTATCCATTAAAGTACCGATGAGTCCATATATCCACTAACTTATTCAACGAATAAGAAGGTATTAATAAAGGATCGTGATTTCCTGTTGTTGATATTCAAAATTGTTACTAATCCGTTTTTATAACCTATACATATTCGACTTTTAAAATGTTTAATATCGTGAAACAAAGTGTGAAGCAATATTTTGATGATTTTAAGTAATCAACAGACATGTAACAACATATGAATGGATACAGTAAATTATCTAGCTAAATAAATCCCATCAGATTTCAATAAAATCATTGAAAGTGCAAAATAACAATAGTGTCAAGCGAAATACACCATCTTACAATGTCAACAATAAAAGTACAACCAACTTTCATAACAACTAACAAAAACAAACAAAATATGAATATTTACTTATGAAAGAATCAGGAAAATTTAAGCATGTTGTTCATAAGCCAACTTTAAATATCAATTAAGCAAAATATTGACCAGTGGAGCTAATCCGTGTCAGGTAGAGACAGGTATCTACCTCAGTATAATGGAAGATGGTCACTCAATTTTGTGGATTGGTTAAAGTTAGACATTAACACCGCTGAATGCCGGCTTAGTGGTTTAGAGATTAAGCATTCGCGCGTGGGACAGAAGGCCCTGGGTTTGAATCCCGCGAGCAGGACCGGGGATGCACCCTACTGAGAAGTCCCACAATAGGAAGAAACGGCCGTCCAGAATTTCGAATTCGATGAACGATCTAAACAACGTTGATCTCTAGCTGAATAGATGTGAAGAAAATAAAATTCTTTCTTACAAACGTTTATGCTAATGTAAATCAACTTTACTTCTTCATTAAGTTTGAATTGAAACGAAACATCGATATTAAAGTGTTTCTTTATGAACACCTATGAATTAAATCTAATGACATGGAGAATTAAATAATATTGTTAATGGCGAAACAAGTCAAAATTGAATATTATCAAGGAATGATAAAGTATTCCAGCTGACTTTTCTCATGGGCTTTTCTTTTAGATTTTTTGGCATAAACACTACTTACAAAGTAACTAGATATCCTTCAGCCACATACACTTTATTAATTAAACTCCAGTAAGGATTAATAGCAAGTAAAGATTTAAAGGCCTTTGTTTAAATCAATACCAGTACGAACAGGATTTTTTTGTTTTGTTAGATTATTAATTCCCTGATAGAATACAACAAACTTTACATCCAAAATTTTACTACAAGTCCACATATATTACAATTAGGTACAAATAATGATTCATGTATGGATACATTCATGTTTCTAACTTTGAATAGATAAAACATTAGTCAAAAACGAACACGAAACTAACAATTTTAGAATAATTTAAAAGTAAATCAAACAAGTAAACACTTTCAAATGGTACACCACAATGTCGAATCACTCAACTAATTGGGAACATTGCTAACTTATTCATTAATTGTATTCCGTTAGCACTAAGAACAAGATAATATAACACTCATTCTTAACCAATAGCTGACTTATACTTCCAATCATGTTCATCAAAAGTTATTGATGACTAAAGCAACCCATTAACAATATCTTCAATTTCACTGTTGAGTGACTAAACTTTTACTTACTGAGGTAGTATAACTTTATCTTTGAAAGTGGTGTTAAAATCTAGAAATATTAAAAAACAGATCAATAACTTGGTATCTTTCACAAAGTTATTATTATATGATAAAGTTCATCAAAAATGACTGTTTCCTAACCGCAAAATATAAATTGGTCATTCGTGTAGTTGAACTGTAGTCTTAATATAGATCAAACGGTATGTATGATAAATGACGTACTGAGGGGTTTTAAAGAGATTGAAGTGAATTTATCTCTTTTTAAGTGAAATTTCGTTAATTTCAAAATCTTCTTTATTTCTATCTCGGAACTAGTGGAAACTATGCAGAATTTAGGAATTAGTTCATTAATCTGTACCTTTTGACAACTCCTCACAGTCATATAAAGTTTACGGTTTTATTCGTTTACTCAAACGTTAGTAGCAACACTTTTTCAACATTAATCATTTCACAGAACAGTGTAGCCATCATTTGTTAATGTTTATCATTTACACTGGCTACATCATGATTTACTATTACGCTTTAAACTTATTTATAGTCTTACTGATTCCAGATATATCATATACTTGTGTTCGTATGCTATTTCAAGACTAAACGATAGATGATAAATGGCAAATAAAGCACATTGTTAAATGACGTCAATTAAGGTCTTTACTTAAAAATCAAAATCAAAAATCTCTATATTTCATAAATTTTGTACACTATTTGGTTTACTCATTATTGGCCTCCTAGTTATTCACATTCCTTTTATTTACATATCAGATTAGGCAAGTATTTAAGAAGCAAATATACCTGTATCTACATCAGACAACCGTTAAATATAACACTTTCATTCGTTAGAAGAAAATTCTCATTTCAACTGATTAAAATAGAAAACTTTAAAGTAATACAGTGAATTTATTTTTATTCTAGAAAACCTATAAAATATAAAGAGGCAGTGAATAAACATGACAACATCATTCTAACTATTAACGTAACATGAGTGACAGAAAATGTATTTCAAAAAAAAAAGGTAAACAACTCAATCAATTAAAATCATTTTTAAATACAAATAAGTAAAACATAATCACAGATATTACTCGTATTGAATTCAGCTAGTTGTTCTGTAATGAATGAGAACACAAGTGAGGATAATCAAATACATTTTGTACACAATATTACAGTCAGTCAGCTACAACGTAGGACCAGGCACATATATGCATCGGTCCAAGTTGCATTACCTCATTAACACAGCAAGATAAACACTGGTTTCATAAAAGTAGTTAATTCAGTTGTGGTAATATAGAAAAGAAAGATTACAATAAGGATATAGTACAGGAAGAAAGAATTAGTTCGTAGAAAGAAAGATATTAAAATCTGTAAACCATACAAATAAATACTTCATTTGTAAAATATCAATCAATTGTCTCAAAATTGACTGTTCGTTTTGTTTCAAACTTTATTTTTGTTCCGACATTTTCATATCAATTACTTTTTGTTTTCATTCTTTCTCTTCTAAATCTTCTTGATCTTTTATTGTCAGATACTGTATTCCTGACTAGTGTTACATACTACTTATGTCAATATAAGTAGTACACAATACAATTTAAGACATTTCATTTTTATAATAATAATGAATTGATTAATGATAATAATAATAAGAAAATACATCCTATTGTCATTGTTATACTCATTAATTTTAATTCATTTAATATAGGCTTTATATTTAACATTGATAATTGTTGATTATCATTGTTATTAGTTAATGGACAAATAGAACTAATTCCATTTATATATATCTCATATAAACCATTAAATGGTATCATATCATCTAATAAATTATGTATAAATGGTATTATATATTGAATGAAATTCAATTTTAATTCATTCCAACTAATTGAAAATAATCGATCGATTAAATGTTCAATATCTAAATTGGATAAACATTGAATTTGTTCTAATAGATTTAAACTAATATTGGCAAGTTTATCAAATGGTTTTAAAATAATTTTATTCTGTTCAATAATATTTAATTGATTTTCAATAAATAAATAATTACTATGATATTCTTTATATAATCGATTTAATTTTTTATAAAAATTTATTAAATTTTTATGTTCATCATTTGAAATCTTTTTTAAATTACGTAAAATAATTAGAAAATAATTAAAACCAGGATGAATTAAATAATCATTGACATGACCAACAAATAAATGATCAAATAAATTGGTTAAATTGAATGTTAATTTAGTTTGTTCATATAACGCGCGATAATCGATTGGCGGGATTTTTGATTTTAAATCATAATATTTTGTTTTATTTGTAATTTCTTTATACCAAATATTATATAATAATGAATAAATATAATTAGAATTTAATATATTAATAAAATTCAATGGACGATTTATATGTAAACTTTTTAATAATGGTAAATGATCTGGTGTATATTTTGAATTGATTGTTTTTAAAA